ACTCACTTGGACCTGGTGCACGTTGGGCCGGATGACTGGATGATGGAGCCTGCTCTGCATTCCAAGCGACCTTGGCGAGCTGTGCTTGCTCGTCGGAGATGGAGGATCGGGTGAGTTATTTATTTTTCGTTTTCCCGTTCGAAAATGGTTTGGGAGGAGGGAATCACGATTACTGTACTGTACTTATCATAGGAGAGGAGGGGGGAAATGCATTGCAAAGTTATTTTCTGCTTTTTATGCGTTTTTTTTTTGTCCCTATTTACTCGAGCACCACGTGCCATCAATTAAGACGCGTATCTCAAGGTTTTCCTTAAACCTAAATTCAGGGGGGAAATGCTATACAGTACTCGCATAAGACGCGTACTGTATCTTAGTTTTCAGCCCAAAAATTTATTTGGTACAGTATTTTGAAAACTACATGGGGTAAAAATCTAAATACAAGCTCACTTGAATTTACCATTAAAAAATTATAATAAAAGCAAGTGCTGTTACAATTGTGTTATAAATCTGATCATTGCCAATTATATACTGTATTTTATTATTTATAGAACTTTTAACAAAATAAAAGAGTTTTCAGCTCATCTAGTACCCTTAGTAAAGTTGACTTCAATGTCAATTTTTTTCTTATGCGAAACAAACTAACAATTGAGAAATAACTTTAAGCATTTTTAGAAGTGGGGAAAAAAGTTTCAAGTTTGAAAAATTACTACGAAATGTGTACCCGACTATGACGCGCACCTCATTTTTTCCCCTTGTATATTCCTGCTATCTTCGCGCAACTGTCGACATTTGAATCTATCCCTCGTAAACGAACTCAATATTCCATTTCAGTGTAATTTTGAAGCTAAGAAGAAATCGAGCATTCCGTGGATTTCTTGTACTGTATTGCTTTGTGAGTTTAAAATAGTCAGATACGTTTCGAAAGCAAGTTTGACGCGAATATTCGTTTCAAAATTATTTTTTACCTGGATTAGCAATTCCAAGTACTGTTCTGTTCTTTATGTACTGTATTCTTAGTGGGTCAATATAGCATAAGACACGCCTAGACCAGCTCAAATTTGGGGTTTCTGTACCGTTTCGCATAGGGAAAATATATGCGGGTACTTCGTGGACGAAAGTTGCGAAATAATGTTTGGATCCCGCATAGCTAAAATTGTCCGTTCCATGATACGTTTATTTGCACGAAACAAGATTTTATTCGTATTAAAAATATTCAGTCCGTTCCAGACACTTGAAAAAATCGTTGATAAATTTTCAAAGCATGTGTATTTCATAAATCTAATGCAGGTGGACTCTCTCAAACGAAATGACCAGAAAAAACTGCTTTGTAGAGAAAACTTTGTTGTAGAAATGTGGAGAACCCCTATAACATGGGAGAGAACCGTATGGGACCAAAAATAATGTTTTTTTGCAGAGAATATCGACGTAGAGAGAGTCCACCTGTTCTGTGGTATGAAACTCCAAGTAAAAATTTCAATAATGCAGTATAATTCTTCCAATTTTGAGCTCTGAGGTTTCTAAAATTTCCAGATCGTTGAGATTCGTAAAAACAGCGTTTCTTTTCTTTACTCGCTCTAGATTATTTCTAGAAAATCCTCAAAACTTGTACCAATTCATGCTTTATTTTTCTTCATTTCAAATGCATCACTTTTTTTTAATTCGTGAAACGTTTCTTGTTGCGACGTCGTTGTGCGGTTCTTTTTTTTTTTTATGCCGGAACCAATTGTGGAAGGATACTGTGCGTGGCTAAGCTAATTTCGCGTAATATACCGCCAGCGAGGCAATGCTGATGTGTCTATTTGAACGGGGAATAAAAAATGTATACGGTAGTAATAAATTTCGGGGTTACTTCTCACGCGATTTTTAAAGAAGGAGTTGGAAGGGAAGAACAGGTAGAGAAAAGTGTAATGCGATGTTGACCGCCCCTTGCGTGTTCTGAAAAAATAAAAATAGGTACAATGCGGGCGGCGGTCCGGATTACAAGCAGACGACGGCAGTGAACCCGCAGTTTCACATTCAAATACCGCGGTCGGGCCACACCAAGTGCCACATGGTGGTGTCCGTGACGCAGGAGTACAAGACCCAGCTGTGCCACTCGATGCGAGGCGGTCTTTTGGACGGCAAAAAGCTTCACCGGCACGACCTCGGCTTTTCCCACGCGCCGAGTGAAAACCTTCAGGTAAGGCAACTTATTCCCGTTCCCGCCCCGCGTTTCCCCCGACTTTTTTTTTTCATTTTGAGGATATTGAAATGATGAAGACAGAAAGAAGAAAGAAAAACAACAACAACAACTTGACTTGTAAATCCGAACGGTATTTTTTGATGCACCGTTCGTCGTGGGGCAACCTGCGGAAATGATGCAAGTACAGTACAAGGGGCTTGTTCAAAACTTTTTGGAAACTATTCAAAGTAGAGTCAGGAAAGTTTTTGAGTTGGCATTTTCGGTGTAGGGGGGTGGGGGGGGAAATGAAAAATTGCAGGGAGTTGAAATTGGTGATTTTCCTGAAAATGCTTTGTAAATGAGTTGACGGGATGCTGGAATTGGAGGCAAGGGTTAATTTGCCTTAATTATATGAATTGAAGAGCGAGAATTGTGATTGTTCTTTTTTCCGTGTCCCGAGAAAGTTTGCGCAATGGACTCCAGAAATTTTTGATTCATAGAGGTTTCGATGTCGGGGGGGGGGGGGAATGTCTTTAGTAAATTTTTCTCACGAAAACTCAGAGACAGGGACACAATTATAAATTCGGGAGGTTTGAATCATCTTGGTGAAATTGAAGGTAAACCAGGTTTTTTTGGATTCGGAAAAATGTATTCCCTTGCTTCACCTCATAAATTTTAGTTCCGTTTCAGTGTCATTCAATTTCCGTTTTGTTGATGTCACTGGCTTTTTTTTTCAAGATTAGAACCCGTCAATTCCGAAAATACAGGGGGGTTTAAAACGTATTTTAGCTATTCCCACAAAACGCGAAAGCTAATGATCTTAATTTAGGCGTGAGTGAAAGTTCGACTTAATTGTGCTTGAATAATTTTTGTTCCAGGATTTTAATTTTTCATATTATGGTTGCTGTGGCTTTTGAAAATTGATCTTAAAATTACGTCATAAAGTATCAAGAATTACCTAAGAATACATTATATCCCCATACGTTCATATTCAATGATTGGTGAGAGACATCTTTTTTTATAAAACCATGAATGAGAATAATGTTGTTGTTTATTTTAACAATTCAATCTCAATGTTTGAAATGTGTTAATCTATATGTAATTAGTTTTAAAACAGTATCTGCCCTCGTAAAATTCAGAACATAGCGATTCAATTCAACTACTGAAGAAAGTCATTCATTATGCAAGAATGTGAGATGGGTTTTTTTTAATTATAATTTCATCGCCTCTTACTTTTAATTATGGTGTTTGAATTGCCATTTGAGTGTGCCTTGACCATCATTCCATTTTCATGAAATCCGGCGGAATTACGGCCGATAAATTTCGGCTCGGGCGAGGAACCCCTAAAAAGTAATGCAAAAAAAAATAGTGCGTCAGAGAGGGAACTACGGAAGGAAGGTATGTTAATCACGGGGTGGTCGTTGGGTGTGAAGTATTTTCGTTGCGGCATAATTGGATTCGTTGTGGTTTCTTCGGCGTTTGAGGGCATCGACCCTGTTGGCTTTCCTCCCAAGTTTTTTTTTTTTTTTTTTTTTTTTTTTAATTTTTTTGTTTTGTTTTGGGCTTACTCTTCGTACTCCCATGAATTTTAATTGAAAGAAGGAAAAAATACAAGAAATTGTCATCAGTGATATTCTTATTGTCTGACTTGCTTTTTCTAAATCTTTGTGTTTAGTCTTGGGCTTACTCTGCGTACTCCCATGAATATGAAAGGTGAGTCTGGAGGGCATCGGGTTTAACGGTAATTCTAGAGAATTTGTAAATACGCCGGTTGATTGACTTCTAAATGGATTCCAGTTTTTTTTTTCCCTGACGCTAGTTATGGTGGATGTGTGGAGGAATTTTCTGGCGACAAGAGGAATTTTTCAATGTTCTTTTCGGTTTATCTTTTTGTACAGGATGAAAAAATGAAGTAGTAAGTAACGGTATTTTATATTAAGCTGACAGTTTTTTTCGTTGAATTTTGATCGGATGATGCGTAGAATATGTTTATTATCAAGTATAAAGCGAATCTTGAACGTTTTCCGCTTCTTTTTTTCTTTTTCTTTTTTTTTAAACCAGAAATACGATTGGATATTTGCCCAAATTTAATAGTCATGAGAAAACGCCTTTACTTGAAATCCAGCCATTTTTGTCGTTTCGCTTTATCGTGGAAGAAGAAGATAAAGTCGAAAAATGATCTTTCGCCTGGAAGTTTTGTCTTGAAACCAACTGGTATCCGATTCTAAAATTGGAATTTTGATTGAAAATTTGAAACTATCAATTTTTTAGCAAGGAATGGTTTACGTATGTCGGTGAAGATACCCAGCAGTAACCTGGGTACCCAAGTTTCTAAGTTTGAATCAACCAAGGAAGTCAGTGAGAGGAAAGTTTAATAAAGCTTAGAAACCACCTTCGCATATGCTTTGTCTATGTGAGTGTGTCCTTATCAATTTTCTCCGTCCCTTTGTATGTGTCCGTGTTTGTAGGCCATTGGTTTCGCCGTCTACGAANGCTTCTTTTTTTCTTTTTCTTTTTTTTTAAACCAGAAATACGATTGGATATTTGCCCAAATTTAATAGTCATGAGAAAACGCCTTTACTTGAAATCCAGCCATTTTTGTCGTTTCGCTTTATCGTGGAAGAAGAAGATAAAGTCGAAAAATGATCTTTCGCCTGGAAGTTTTGTCTTGAAACCAACTGGTATCCGATTCTAAAATTGGAATTTTGATTGAAAATTTGAAACTATCAATTTTTTAGCAAGGAATGGTTTACGTATGTCGGTGAAGATACCCAGCAGTAACCTGGGTACCCAAGTTTCTAAGTTTGAATCAACCAAGGAAGTCAGTGAGAGGAAAGTTTAATAAAGCTTAGAAACCACCTTCGCATATGCTTTGTCTATGTGAGTGTGTCCTTATCAATTTTCTCCGTCCCTTTGTATGTGTCCGTGTTTGTAGGCCATTGGTTTCGCCGTCTACGAAGTGCCAGCCAACATGACCCGACTGACGACCGGCTTTTGCGTCGAACAAGAACCGATCGACGTGACGACGCATTCAGTGGCCCGGGAAACGGCCACGTTTTTCACTCTGCCGCCAGGAAACTACATTGTGGTGCCGCAAACGGCGCAGCCCAATTCCGAGTCCCGCTTCCTGCTGCGTATCTTCACCGACAAGCAGACCAACATCTGGGAGGTCAACGAGGACAACATGATCTTCCGGCCCGTCAGCATGACCCACTTTGATGATCACCAGGTCCTGGATCCTCAGGTGAGTCACGGAAAAATGTTACCCTCTCTCTCTCTCTCCCCCCTCCCGCGCTCTTGAAGTATCGCGGGGGAAAATTTCGTACGTCTGAAATAATCATTGTCCCATTCCCGTTCCACCCTTTCCGCGATTTGCGAGAGGTGTGGTTGTTTGAAAGCCGTTAGCCCGCAAGTCTGGTGGTAATTTTTCCTTCTCGTTTTTTTGTCTTTTTTTTTCAATACAGTACAGTTGAACTTTGATAACTCGAACCTCACCATGTCGAATTGTTTTCAAGCCCCTTTCTGAATCCCCTAAAAACAATGCTTTAAAATATTCTCCATAACTGGAAGGCTTGTCTCCTCCAGAACTCGAATTATCTGGAGGCCATTTTGCTAATATTTTATTGTCACAGGAAAGAGAAAATCGATAAGAATATAAATTGACGTGTTTTGAAATGAAGTGGAAGACTAATTGGACAGATAAACACGTTTCCAAGTTCAGTATCTTGTCAACTGATTTAAGAAGCCATGTAATATCTATAATATCACGAATCATAATTTCCTGTAATTATTCTTTCTTTCCCCCGCCACAAATGCTTGTTTTCCTAACTCGAATTCTTGCTGGTCCCTTGAAGTTTGACTGAATTTCAAATTGAAGAGTACAAAACAAACCCCATGAATGAATATACAGTATGAGATTTACTTGTCAAACATGCATGTTTGTTGAATACACAGCAGGTTTAGATGCAATCAAATAAATATGTCTGAATTGTTTTCAAGCCCCTGTCTGAATTCCCTAGAAGCAATGCGTTAAAATCCTCCCTAAGTGGAAGGCTTTTCTCCTCAAACCTCCATAAGTGGAATTTTCAGAAGGCTTTTTAGCTATTATTTTTTTGACACATGAAAGAGAAAAGCAATAAAAGAAGTAACTTGATGCATTTTGAAAGGAAGTGACAGACTAATTGGGCAAACGAACCCGTGCCTCCCAAAAGTTCAGCATGCTGTTAACTCATTTAAGAAGCAATTTAATGCCCATATTATCACCATTTACAATTTCCTACAAGTCTTTTATGTTTCCCACAACAAAAATGCTTGTTTCCCTAACTCAAAATCTCCATGAATGGAAACTTCCCTGAGTCCAATTTTTTTGCTGGTCTCTTTAAATTTGACTTGGAGAGGTTTAAGTGTAACTCAAACCTCCATAAGTTGATGCGTCCCTTTGTGGAATTGTTTTCAAGTCCCTGTCTGAATTCCATAGAAATATTACCTTGAAATCCTCCCGATGTCAAAAGCTCTTCTCCTCAAACCTTCATAACTCGAATTTCCAGGAGGCCTTTTGACTATTATTTTACTGACACAGAAAAGAGAAAAGCTATGAAAATATAAATGATGAATTTTGAAAGGAAGTAAAAGAGTAATTAAGCATTAAACCCTTGTCTTCAACTTCAGCATCCGGTCAACTAATTCTGCAAGCTATTTAAGGCCCAAATTATCACCTTTTTCAATTTCCTGTAATAATCTTTTGATTAAAAATCTTTCTAACTTGATTAGAAGGTTTTCCCACCTAAGTCTCCCTAACTCAAATTTTCTGGAGGTTTTTTGTTTATTATTTTATAGAGACAGGAGAGAGAAAAGCAATAATAAAACTGGATGTGTTTTTAAATTATGTGAAACACCGATTGGGCAAATTAACCCTTGATGGAATTAACCCTTGTTTAGCATACTGTCAATTAATTTGAAAAGCAAGTCAGACAATAAGAATATCACTGATGACAATTTCTTGTATTTTTTCCTTCTTTCAACGACGAAAAATTTTCGTTTCCCTAACTCGAATTTTTTTTTTTTTGGTCCCTTGAAATTAAACTTTAAAAGAAGTTCGACTAATAATTTACGTGTTTTAAACACGCAGTGGAAACGGGTTTACGAGGCAACACGCCACATACTTGTAATTTTGCGGGCTTTTAATACCACAATTGAGGAGAGGGGAGTCGTTACTTGTTGTTTGACGAAGTTAAAAGCATTTCACCGTGTGAATGTTCCCGATTTACCTCATGTATTTTCCGAGTTGAGAAAATTCAGTTTTTTTTATCTACGGTAATCATGGTACAGCCTACTTGAAAACTGTGGTAGGGCATTTCCTCGGCGTAATTGTGCTCGAATTTGTTTGGTAGTGCAATATAACACCCGATTGTTCGGGCTGATGACCAGGTGCCTTTTCTCGGGTTATCAACTTTCGGGGATAATTTAATTCAGTATTGTACAGTATATCACTGTTATTTTTTAGAATGGATAGATTATGAAGCAGGCGAAATGAAATCAAGAATAACCTGGCACTATAAAATCAAAGAAGGCCGCAAATTTCGAGAGAAGTTCTTTGTTATTTTATCCTCAACATTTGCGCGCAATTCGAAGCCAAGTAACGTGCTCATTACCTGATCAAATTTTACTCGAGATCAATAATTATTGTTCGCCGTTTTAGATTTATTGGAAAATTTCAGCGCGGTAATTTGGAGTTGCATTTTATTTTTAGATTTCTAGCTGCATAATGCTGTTCTGCTGAATGTATAAAGTTTTAATGTATGCGTTCCTTTTCTCAATTTTATTCCTAAATATGCAGCAATTTTTTTTTTTAATATTATAAAATCGTTTGTTTCAGCTGTTAAAATTTAAAACATTGCGCGCTGGACATTTCCCCAACTTCATCTGATCATAGAGAGCAGTGCGAAAATTTCGTACTTTTTAAGCTGGCAAAATCCAAGCTTGCGAATTACAGTATTCAATTACTGTAAAACGTAGTACAGTTTGTTGGTCATTTCCTCGTTTTTTTATCTTTGAAAGACTGTATAGCATTATTTCGTTTACAGTAATGTATTTAGAAAGAGGAGAAAATCCGTGTAATATCCTGTAGTTGAGTGATCATGATACGGATGTCGGCGTCATTTTCCCCATATGTATTTAAGATTTTCAATGTTTTTTTTTTTCGCAGGATTTAATTTCGTGCTCACCTTTTTTTCTTTTTCATCGCCGCACTGCTTGTCGGAGTATAAGTTTCCTCTCGTAATTTTCAACGGACGATTGATTAAGCTCATTTTGTTTGTTGGTTGAAACTCATCAGTTTTCCGCGAGTCCAAAATTGAAAGTGTATCTGTATTTTACTTTGATGTATTACCCTCATTTTTCATTTCTTTCCGTTTACAGGCCGAGGGCCGCAACGTGCTGAACAAGGTATTATTCAAATATTGCTCGGAAATTGATGCCCAGGCTCTGATGAAAATTTTCAAGTCGCACTGGAAAAGTGAGCATTTTGAAGCTTGAATTTTGGGACCACGTAACGTCATTACTTGCTTTTGCCTCTTTTCTTTTCCGCAGCCTTTTTGCTGGAAAAACCGAATCTGGAGCTTTGCAAAAGCTTGATAATGCTGCGGGATGTGAGTTTTTGTTTTTTTGTGAAGCAGAAATTTTTGGAGCTGCGATGATTAATTTCATTCATGCTTTTCGACTTGCAGTACAACATCAGTGGACGCGTGATGTTGAAGGATATTCCGCCGCTCCTACAGACATTGCAGTACTGGAGGGTAAATACATGCGCTTCCGGTTTCCTAATGCTGAACTCTCACGTCCATCACACGAAGGGTTTTTTCAGAAGTCCCGTTGTTTTATTTTCATTTTAAGCTGATGAAATTCAAGTGCTGGCCTTTTTTTACCTAGGAAAAAAAAGTCACTTTACTAACTACAAGCGTTTGAAGATGAGGTACAGTATAATGTAGATTTCGACGCCTCGAATTGATAGCGTATGGACAGCAATGCATTAGAAAGTTCTGTGCGTCGTGAAAAAAGTTATGCATCCTTTTTTCGCTGAGGATCCTTCGTTTTTGAGGAAAATTTCCCCCGAAGTATAATTTTGAAATCCCCTTAGCAGCCAGAGGATGTCATTGGATAGCCTACGGAAAAGGTTCACAAATAATTTTTTTTCTATCGAATTGAGCAGAATGGGTTGAATTTTTTTTATAGATTCTTCATTTAACTTGACCTGGCATATGTTCGCGTGAAACACCTCGTTTAAATGCATGTTTGCCCACGTCGAATTTTTCTCTATAATTTAAATTAAATTGATTTACTGTATCATTATTTAAAATTATACATTTTTTGCATCGAATTAGGCAGAAATGGGTTGAAATTAGTTATTTTAGATATAAAATTCGACTTGACCCATATATTATTATTGTGGAACGCGTCATTTAAATGCATTTTCGCCTACGTTTAATTGATTTATTATTTGAATTATTGTCCCATACTCGCCTTTATTTTCAAATAGAATTGAGAAATGTGTTATGCCCCTCTAGGGCATCGAATCATTTCCATTATACGCTCGAATACTATTTTCCCGTTTTTTTATGGCGAACTCATGATGATTTACATTTTAGGGTTTAAATTTTGTATTTTTTCATGATTCTAATGGAGGTACTGTAATTAAATAATGTGGTCATGGTTCATCTTGACTAGAATAACTTCGAGACGATTCCCGATACTTTCGTTGAACTCCTCGTGTACGCCTTATTTTCTTCCTCTAGGCTGCATTCCTCAAGTTTGAAAGCCCGAAAAACAGCTGCAAGGCGTTGAGCTACCATTTACGGCCGCTGCTGTGGGAGGCCGGTTTGACCGTGTCCAACAAAGTGCTGGAGTGTCTGGTGCTGCGTTTCGCTTTGAGGGCGTCGCAGGCCATATCGGCCACGTCTTTCTTGTTGGCTGTCATACGACTGCACTTGGCGCACGGTAAGTCACTGTGAATTAACTGACGAATCAATTTGAACCGAGAAGCTACGCTTGAGTTCAAAAAAGGGGTTGGCTAGGGCCGAATTTCGCGTGATGGAATCAGTTTTGTCATGGTTGCAGTTGTTATGGGTCGAGAGGGGTCTTTTCGTGAATTTTTAAGTGATGCATTGTTGAAAATCCTTCTGTGATTTTTTTTTTCCAAGAGACTGACGAGGATGTTTTCATGAATTTTCAAGTGACGTGTAAATTCCATGAGACGTGTACTCGGTCAATTTTTTTTTAAATTTATATGTAGTGTGCACTTACGAAATCTGTCTTCTCTCCATTTCAACCTGAATGAACAATTATCTGAAAAATGCTCGGGGAAATGAAAGTACTGTATGTTACTCCAGAGATTACAGTCATCTCAATCTCCCCACCCAATGCTTACAATAATTAAAGCACAAAACTGACTGACAAAATAACTGTACAGGTGGACTCTCTCTGCAACGGTCTTGTCTACAACAATTTTTTTGTATAACGCAAATTTTTTTGGTCCCATAGGATACTCTACCTTTGTTAAAGGGATTCTCTGCAACAAAATTCTGTTGACAAAAAATTGTTTCTGGTCCTTTGAATTTTGTTGCGGAGAGAGTCCACCTGTAGTACTTTTAAATACTATATTAGTATCTTGGTTGTGGTGTTCTTTCAGTTTTCTTTCATTCGTTCTCGTCTTTTTCCATTCGACAGAGAGATTCTACAGCATTGAGACAAAGACAAAAGGGAACCCGCTCTCCCTGGAAGAGGTGAGTTGCTTTGTGCGGCGATGAAGCACCGGAATAAGTTACAATTGTCTATGTGTTTATTTGTTTCTAGATGATTTTAATGACTATATACTCATGAAAGTGCGACGGTTGTGGAATCAGGACGAATGCTTTAAGCCGTTACCAAGAATCGTGAAGAAAACTGGAGGAAGTAAGACTGCACAAAACAAAAATTACGTTCAAGTATCTGTGAAACATGGGAACAAGAAATTCGTGCTCAGAAACGTGTTAAAATGGAAAACGTGACCGAGTCCACCTCCTAATTTATTTCCCGGACTCAGTCTGGATTCCGAAACGGGGTGAAAAAAGGAAAGAAACGCGAGTAATTTGACGGGAATGAGAGACTATAGCCGAGTATACGTAAATACGTGAATCTGGAAATGTTTCTGTGTTCTTTTGGACGAACAGTCCGCATTCGTTAGTATTTTGCGCTCCTCTTCCCGCACTTTTTTGTGTCTGTATTTCGCGCTGTGCAACTGCGAGTATTAACGGCCAAATGACAGTGTTGTGATGGTGATGATGATGATGCTCGACTCTTGGTCTCGATGACGGGATTCGTTGTCTATGTCGTCGTCGTTTGTGTCCTCGGATCATTCGTGATGACGAAAATCCAGTGTTTTTCGAAGGTTATATGTGATTACGTATCAACAAACGTGTGAGAAAGGTGAATGTCAGGGCTGATCCACGCTCGCTTGCAGTCAAGGAAAAAAAAATGAGTTTCAGATAACTTTCAGTCAGCTTCGGTGTTTTGAACCACACTTGAGAATTCCTTCGATGCCGGATTTTGTTTTATTTTGCGTAATTATCAACTGCGGGTGATTCATCAGGTGCTTGTAATTATTTTTCTAGACATATTTTTGGGATACTTCTTCGAAATTCTTGGAAACAATTCGGTATATGAGTGCGAGTGGACTAACTTCACAGCTGTGTTCTTTCCTCGGCAATTTTTTTTTATGGTTTTTGGCTAGCGAGAATTCACTCTTTGACAAAGAAATGCCCTTCTGTAACCAGTAAGTTTTGGCTTCTTGGACATAATTGAATCGAAAATTTAATTTTAAAAGGAGTTTTCCATTTGTGATAATATGCCATACAGCTGCTTCTATGCCACGGAATTCGGTGGATAAAATCATGATTTGGTCCCTGCTCCATAAGTATATTTTTATAAAAATTTCCTTTGTGTAAATTAACAAGCAGAGAAAATGATTTTCAAGTCAAATTACCTGGGTTGCCCTTAATTTTTGTGTCGCCGACTCTTCTGTATTTATGGACATCTCACTTTCTGTGTATGTATGAACAGCTCTTCTGTAACCGAATTGTCTCCATAACCATTTATTTTGTTGTTCCTTTGATTTTCTGAAGTTAGTCCACCTATTTCTACACAACTCAATTTTCCAAAACCGATTAAACCACTGAAGGAATGCTCAAGGGTATGCGAGCTGGCAATGAAACTCATCTGCTAGCGGAAGTGGACCAGCTTTTGGATTAAAATGAAACTCAGAGGTATGTAACGTTCTGCTCAATGGGAAGCCAAAAAATTGGAAAAGAAATTATGCGTCAGAATGGTATTTTTAAATGTGTGTAGAAGAATGAAGAAGATACTGGATATGTATCACCATTACGTAGTTATTCTTGTGGTTGGAAAGATCCGGTGCGAAAAGGGCGGGGAAATTGCCATGTGAGAAGTTGCCAAAAAATATTCAGCGGTTCTTCTGACGGAGAAAGCCGAAGGCTTTTTTTGAGTTCATGCATATTTGCATTCATTCATTTAGTCGGAATGAGAATAATTGTTGAAAAACTAATTTTTTTATTGAATATAGTACAGTAACTCGGAATCACGTGATGCTTATTATCGGAAAAGCGATCGGTGCATTGATGTTACCTCTCCGGGAAATATGAATTTTTAACTTAACCGCATGTCTTCCACTGCTGTGAGTAATACAGCCCTAAATTTGTGTATGCTGTATTATTTATTCCTCTCACAAAATTGTTTTGAGCCACCTGCATCTAGCATTCATTTCCCATGTGAAAAAATTGGTACACACTTCAACTATGCGTGTGATCGTGACCTAGGAAACCTTTCCGTGCACCAACGTTTTTCTTTTACACATCTGTATCCAAAATATGCACCATTATTTATTTGTTTGCATTTGGGATACATCTGTAACCCTGGAGATGTGCATCAAATACAGTGAGACTCCATGTGGGTTTGATGGTGCTTGGACCTTTTCCCTATCCCTGTGTTGGATCATACAAATATTGGATCTTGTTCTCCTCATAGACTTCAATGCAAATGTACAGTATTTCAATGGTTCTCTCCATATCAAGAAGTGGGAATATAGTATATAAGACCCCAAAAATTGAATTTAATGCTTCTCCCAACTTCAGGGTACATAAAAAAAACTTCGCAGAAAAACACCCACATAGGAAATGATCTTCTGGTATCAAAAGCTGGAGCTCAAATAAAAGCAAAGAACAAGTCTTGCTTTATTATTGTACATTGTGAACAGACACAATAGGAATAACTGAAACAGCACAAAATTAGCCTGTTTTTTTTTATTATGAATTAGAGTAAAGTTATAATCAAATACATTTTCAATTTTTGTGAATACACAATAAATATAGCTCAACTTCTTCAGGTTAGAGCAGGTATCAAAATGAGAAAAATAAAATGATTTTTTGGAAAATGTTCGCAGTGTTCCTAACTTAACCATATTGTTCGGATGTTGGGTCAGATTTTCGTGAGTTTTAAGTACAGTATCCGTGTGTCAAATCATTAATTGGAGTGTCTATATACTGCATGTTGCAGTCTCCATGCTTACATAATACCGTACTACTGTATACATACCAAGAATTCTGTATAGCACTGATATGATAGCAAAATATGTCCCATGTGTACCACTTGTGTGATTACAGAAAGAGTAGCTTCCCATCTGGCTCCATGATGAAATATAGATGACTGTGTGCCAGAGATCATGAATAAGTTGCTCAATAAAGGCAAAATATTGGGTGGGGAATTAAGAGCCTACGTTTTATATTCGTGTACCCAATATCATTCAGTTGCTTGGATTGTGCTAATTGAATCTTATTTAGAAAGTTATGATCAGAAAATTGACATTACGTCGAACGCCATTATGGAGTAATTGGAAAGAATCAAGGGTGTACTACAGTAGTACAGTAATGTATTGTGCTACGCACTATTACTTTCTGCATTTGTGGTATAGAGTGACATCTGTATTTTGTAAAGGTTGACGTCAAACACAGTTCAATGTGCTACTGGCAATTCCCAAGACACGGTCTGCTTGAGAGAAGACGAAAAATAAAATGTTAAGGCGAAGTCATTTATCTAGGGTTCGTGTTGGAATCATGTGAGAACAAAGGTAGTGACGCCCTTGGAGTTTTCTTCTACCTGTGTTATTCTCTCCACGATCGGCGGGAGTACGTTAGAGTAAACCTAAATCACCGTACATTTAATTTAATTAAATAATCAAAAATGACGGAGGGAGTGTAGAAGTGACAAATGCCTATATGTTTTTTTTTTTTTTAAATACTGTTACGTGAAGAATTTGTGGTGTTCCCGATAATATTTTCACCTCACGTGACGTTTGTGTAGATATCTTCTTTCTCACCTGGGGCAGGAACTTGCGCTTCATAAACTAACAGTGTTTCTCGCCGTGAGCGTTTAGCTTAATTTGCTGAGACTTTAAAGAACTTTCTATTGAAATTACAGGTTGAGTAGTATGCTTTTGGTTAATGGAAACTTATTTTGAACGTTAACTTCGCTCCCCTAAGAAATGACTCGAATTGACCCGTGATCTATGTAAAAGACAGTACTAACTCTGCGTAGCAGTCTTTCCACAGGAGTTGTCCGTTTTGCTGTTCAGAACGACAATACGTTATTGCGAAGTTTACCCGTGATAATTTGTTCGAGAGCTGGTTCCGGAAACAGCATGTCCGAATTAGATCATGAAGAGGTTAGTCAGTGTACTGCTTTCAGTTCGACTAGATTTCTAATAGAACTTTTTCTTTCTTAGATTCGAAGGAGACGTTTGGCCCGTTTGATGGCGAGTGAATCACCTGCGTCTCAGCAATCTTCATCGGGTCCGGTCCCGAATGCCTCACAAGCTGAAGATGCCTCTTCCTCCTCCATTGCGTCAGACTCGAAGGATGAAGCTATAGGCACGGACCAATCGACTGAGGATTCTTCAGAAGCTGTCTCTGACATGAGTCAAGCCGCAGCAGAAACATACAACCGACTCATGGAGCCAGAACCTGCTGTAAATCAGGAAACTCCGGCTGTGAATTCCCAAAATGAAAAGCCTGGCTCTCATGACATGGATTTCAGTCAGGATTCTGCCGTCGATTGCAGTATTCAAACGTCAATAGACGGAGATGGTGAGAAAATTCGCTGTTGCTCTTGGAAAGTCATTTTCTGCGTTATTTTTTGGAATACTTATAGATCAAGAATAACGATGCTTTTCTATGGATTTCTTGATCAATCTAGCCGTCCACTAGCCATTTGCTCGAATAGAAAATGATAAAACTGGAACTATCCCTTGATGGCAATTTTACTCTTCGGAAGTAATATTTCATGTCAAATACTATGAATGGAGCTCACTGTTGAATGTATGCTGTCCCATTTAAAATGTTCCAGTGTGTTTTATAAACGATATTTCTCTCTGAAGTACTATATTCAATATGATACGCAGTGCAGTTGAAGAACAATGATCTCCGTAAGTTTTTCACTAACGAAAAGTTTAAAAAAATAATCTTCATACCGTACTTATTATGGATTGTCAATGAGATTAAATAAAAGTTGAACTAACTCGTTGTAGGCTTTTAAACTATAATATCTTTTTTTTTTAATGTGAAGCAATGGATCTCGATGATGGGAATGCGCAAGGAACGGACAAATCTTCAGTTATGAGAAAAGACGCGAGCAACTTGGTGAAGGACGTTCTAAATTTGTTGGAACCTGATGCGAATATGGAAACCATGGAAATTGATGATTCTCATGGGCCAGTTCTTATTCAAGTGAGTCGCATTTTTACCGTGCGAAGAGCATCACTGCATTATGATTCTTCGTTTGCAGAGTGAACTGAGCCCTCAAAACTTATTGGATATAATTTGTGGAACTTTTCGCGTCGCCATTTCCCCGTCAGCCGCAGCCAAAGCGAATAGCTCGGGGACTGGCAAAGGAATTCCCGGTTTTATAAAACCACTGCCGTTGTCACCAGTGGTGTATATCTCGACTGTCGCTAATTTCCTCCAAGAATATGTCGAGAGCAAGAAATCTCAGTCTTCAAACTCATTTGTGATGAATCCTGAGGATCTAGTCCAGGAAGTTATGGTTGGAGTTCTTGAGTGGATTTCTGGTATCGGCGATGCAGTTTCTTCGATCGGATCTGCATCAGGTGCGTTTTATTTATTTTTAAATTTTTTTTTCATCTTGGAAGGGCAAAGCTAAGTTTAAAGATCTTGGGTTCTTCAGTGTTCATGTGACCTCACTGCGCTGTTTCTTCCGTGGACCCGTCTGAGAAACCATCCTTACGACACAGTTACGGCATAAAGATCTACAATGATTTTCTATGCACCATATTACGATTTTCTTTAGGGGTCCCGTTGGGTTATCTCCCTACGTTATAGAGATTCTCTACCAGAAATTTGTTTCTGATCCCTTGAAATTCATTGTAGAGAGAGTCCACCTGTACTAGGTTGGTTATACTGTAACTACGTACTAAACTTAAATTACATTGCACAGCATAGAGATACAATATATGAATATTAATGCTCATTATCGTTTTTTATCAGACAAAGTTCGGCGTATTTTTAGATTTAGAATTATTTAGGGGTTTTGTTTTTGGCTTATGTAGTTTGCCATCTATCCAGAGAAGGTTTATCGGGACAATATTTAACACAGGAGCTTGAAAAGTAAATTATGGAACATTCTTGTACCCATGGCTTTCCTGTGGAAAAGGATATTCGAAATGATCTGCTGTTACTACAAGTGACAGTGCTTTTTCACGCCATGAGCTGACGTGACATGTGACTTTGACAGAGAATGTGCCCTTCAAATGCAGACGATTCTTGCATTTTAGATTCAGAAGAAGCCACCTTTGTTCCTGAAAAATTGTGGATAAACACGGTTTCTGACGAGGATTCAGATTATGGAGCTCCAAAAGGCCAGTATCCGGGGGCCTTGAAATTACTACCGGAAGCCCAGCATTTGGAACCGGAACTCGATTACCACTGCCGCGTTTTGCAATATATTATGCAAACCTATGCAATTGCGCATTCGGAGGAACATGCCAGAACTACTGTGAGTTATTTTCCATTCGTAATTATGTAATCCAAATATTTATTTTACTCGTTTTTTTTTTATAGAAAAGTCCCGTTAAAGAACTTTTCCAGTATATCAAGCAACTGTGCATACGATACAGTGGCCTGTTGCTGACCGGGGCGCAGCCGTTTTCTCAGAACAAAAAGACTGCAAAAGAGCGTAGCCCACATTTGCTGCTAAGCTTTTTTATCAAAGACCGACTGCCTCAGTCATATCTTCACGATCTTGTGTGCAGTTCTAAGGGAAAACCAAAAACACTCAAGGCCTTAATTCAACCACTCCTACTTGGAGTGTACGACATGGCGAGACGGACAACTTTGTCGAATGAAAATTGCCGGATTCCGATCCAGATTCTGGCTTTCTTCTGCGATAACGATTCGCCGCACGGTTTTGGTCAGATATTCGTGCAACAAATTGCTCAGACGGTAAATTAGTATATTTTTTCGTGAAGACGTTAAACTTGCAGCGACTCAATGGACTTCGGTTCCGTTTCAGGAAATGTGGTTACCCAAGCCATTGCTCTCTGGGTGCTATGGACGGGAAGTTGTGACGCTTTCGTATCTTGGACCGTTTTTATCATTGTCCCCATATTTACCGGATGATCCAATGATATCGAAGCGATATTTCGAAAATGCTGTTTCGGGATCGGAAGAGTGTAAATTCTCCCAAAATGCACTTCGAGCGACGATTTATGATATCCGAGTAAGTTTTTTTCTTGTGCCGTATCATTTTTTTTTAATCTACCGCAATCTTATAAATTGAGTACATTTTTGAAATTTTTATGGAATCCCTGTGTAGAAAACTCTCTTGACCTCGTGTCTCAAAGAAAAGGAAGTGTAGGATTGTCAAAACCCGATCAGTTCATGGTTGGAAATCTTGGGTTTGCTCGACCTTTTAATTTTACTGTTTTTTTAAAGATACAGTAATAACTATAATTAATTTAATAAATTCCCATCCAGTCTTCGAGAATTGCAATAAGTCACGTAAATATTGCTTTGGGCTAGTTAAGTGACATATTGATACTGTAGGTATTTTCTGATGCACTTCTCAAAGTTTTTGAAATTGCACTTCCTGGTGACGCAGTGCTGATGACCAGCTGAATAGTTTAGAATTGTGATACTTTACGTGCGTGCGATTTAAAAATTTTACTAATTTTTGCAGAAATCCACCTACGAAGTTCTTCGAGCAATGGCAATCGTGTCGGAGTCTCGTGAGCTGTTCCTGCGTTACGTGGCTGCCGTTGTGCGTGCCAACGAACGCCGTTGTCAGATGCAATTCGATGAGCAGAAGCTATCTTCAGACGGTGCTCTCCTCAACTTCCTGGCCGCGCTTCAGCCCTTCGCGTCGAAAGTCAGATTACCCAAGATAAATGCCGCGTATCCGCACGCGTTCCAGACTCTCGTGAACGTTCAATTCCTTGCCAAGATCGGCATGGATGCGGGCAAATACGCTGCTTATCGGGAAATGCTGGCTTGCGGACTGCCGGAAACGAGTACTTCTTCCGGTGGGGTCGTGGATTTGAAGAGCCAGTCTTTGGCTGCTGTACAGCGGGCTTCGAGGCGAACTGGTGAACCGGAAGCTCCGCCTGTAGCCGGCGCGAAGGCTGTGTTGACTTACAGTGAAATCAACTTTTCCACGCACGTTTGGTTCCTCGCCATTCATGCGCATCACATCGCGCTCTTACCTGCCATACGGTGAGTTGAACTGTTGTTTATGGGGAAATTTCTTCGGTGTTGGAAATCATAATTATGTCCATTGTGTGGATTCCATTATTTCATATAATGTCATGAACTCATGTGTAACAATCGTGCCTTAGGTAATGCATACCTCGTTCAGTGGATTTTTTTGCAAAATTGTTTTTAATACTGTATTTGACAAAGATGTAGATGATGCGATATAGCTTCAGAATGTATTGTTCCTTCAATATATTGAAGTTGCCTTGTAAACCTTAATTCCAGCATAATCTATCGAATGACTGGATATCTTTTCGATATTCTTGTTTATGTTGAGCTTTGTTTTTCTAATGCGTGAGTACAGTATTACAGTATTATTATTTTTTTAACGTTATTGTGCATTATGTTGGGTATACGTTCATCAAAAGATTTAAAAGATTTATTTGAGAATTCTCGAAAAAACTTTAAGGGATCTGACATTGATGAAAATGTATGTCTTGTGAATCAACATCTAGTTACGAATCTTTCCTTGTCCTGAATTATTCGAATAAGTCTAGAGAACATGCCTTTGTGATCATTACGTCTTGATGTCATGGTTGTATAATCTTGAATCCGATTGTCCAAAAGGTATTACCTGAAGACGTTCAGGAACTTACGAAACTACTTCAGGCTCGTGGAAGAGCTGACATCCACGCAAGACGAGTGGAAGAATACGGCGGCCGCCCGCAGGAACACGAACCTTCTGAATTCATACCAAATGCATATCAAAAGACTGGCAAGAACAAGAATGTGCGCAGAAGTGTCGATCCTGGACGAAAACTTTTTGACTCAATGCCTCATGTTCTACGAAAAGCTTTGCGAGTTCATGGTGGACTTGGCTTGGGACTCTCATCAAGATTGCGGTTGTTTGTGGTACGAGGACAAGTTGATGCAGTGTGGGCGGTTGAATTGTGCTCCGTTGGCGTTGGCTTCATTGCCCGAGTTTTACGTGGAAGATGTTGCGGAGTTTTTGTTGTTTCTGGCGAATTGGAAGCAAAATCTATTGTTGAGTCAGATCCCGAATGTGAACAACTTCTTGCTGTTGTTCATCTTCCGGTCGAAGTGGGTGAGTAACCCGTACTTGGTTGCGAAGCTGATCGAGGTGCTGTTCGTGGCTGTGCCAGAGTTGCAGTCCAATCAGTCGACTCCGACGTACTTTTCTAACGTCGTATCGTCCAGAGTGGCGATTGACAATCTTGGACCTGCTCTGATGAGCTTTTACACTCGTGAGAATTTCATGCATGAGTTTTTTTAATTTTTGCGTTCACTTGTTTAATTTCTTCTTTTTTTTTAAATTGCGATACAGAGGTTGAAAGAACTGGAGCGAGTTCTGAATTCTACGACAAATTTTCTATTCGATACCACATCAGTGTTATTCTACGCGCTCTTTGGAGTGATTCAGATCACAGGAAAACCATCGTCGATTCCTCGTGAGTGACTCATCAATTTTCGAGGGTGGTCTGGTTTCTACGTTATGTCACGAAAAAAGTTCATGAATTTATTTAATGAATGATTAAAATATTATTAGTTGAATTGATGAAGTCAGGGAAGCCTTTCATTTTCATGAAAATCGTGGAAAATCATCACTATAAATTAAAGTTATTATGGATTAAGGACAAATGGGAATGCATTCGAAGGTTTCCGACTTTTTTCTTGCTCTTGTGAGTTGGAAAAATCCGGTAGATTTAAAAAAAAAAAAAAACGGAGTAGAATTATCTTTTGCTTGATTGATCTAGTCGTCGAAAGCATCTTTTTTTTCTCATCACATACGTTACAAGTATTTTGCGCTGAAACCAGGCTTCTCTGTTTATCAGGTTTGATTTTTTTCTTGCTCTCCAGAAAATCGAAGGAATTTGTGAAATTTGTGAACATGCTGATCAACGACACTACCTACTTATTGGACGAAAGCATTGCTTGTCTTGGAGTGAGCATTTCAGAAATGGAATGGAGTGTGGAACAAAGAAAGACGATTTGTGAAATTGTGCATTTTTTGTTGTTTTAGAGAATTGCTAAGGTGCAAGGGGTTATGGAAGGCGAAGGCTGGGCTACGATGCCTGCAGATCAGCGCCAAACCCATGTTCGTCAGTTGTCGACCGACGAACGACAATGCAAGTGAGTTCATTGCTGAGTACCGGTATTGAGCTTCGTTGCTAGGTTTTGTTGCTGCGGGATTGTCTTCAAGATTATGTTAACGAATTACGTTAGTTGGTTCACTTTTACTCTCAAGCTGCTCTCCTTGACGAAGTGCAGTCTTCGTTTTCATTTTTCGTGAACAATTCACGATGCATCCATTGTAAGCTAAAAATTGGAGCTCCAAATAATGTTAGGAATTTGTAAAAATTACTCTGGCTACGTTTTTGAGGTGACAATTTTCTACTGCACGGCAGTACAGTAAAAAAAAATCTGACGATGCTATTGAGCCACTGCTTCTACTCTTCTGAGACCTGAGGATACCTTCGCCGTAAAATGCCACCATTAAAAATACCTTCACATCAAAGTACTCGGATTTCAAATGCACATACTGAAGCTAAGATATTAATTGGAAATTATTTTGATTATGTTGTGCGTCCAAAGTTGATGCATGATCGCACTTCGGAACATGGTTGTACGAATTCGGTCGATGTCGTGTTCGCCGATTTTTTGGTATGGATTCCACTATATAAGAAACATTTTTTGAAGGTCTTACCTGACGCTGGCACGAGAGACTGTGGATCTATTCCAGTGTCTCACACAGTGGATTAAAGAGCCTTTTTTGCGTCCCGAGGTTGTGGATCGATTGGCCGCCATGTTGAACTTCAACATATCCCAGTTATGCGCGAAAGGTGGAAAACCCGTTTCGATGCTTTACGCTTTTTAGCTTATTCTATGCTGATCTGGTTATACTGTTATGATTTGTTAGGGAGATTCCTGCAAGTCAAGAACCCGAAGAAGTATTCCTGGGATCCGGTTCAACTCACGGCACAATTGATGAGTATTTACACGGCATTGGAATCGGAAGCATTTGCCGTTGCTATTGCGAGTGATGAGGTGAATCTTCATGCGCATTTTTGCATCAAAATTTTCAAGTCGAGTATTTCCCCGTTTGAACGGATTTGTAATTCAAGGTCGTCTCGAAAAATGTTTTACGAAAAACTGGGGTTTCGGGTGAAGCAAACAACATTTTTTCTTCATCTTCGGGGACCTATCAAAACTCCCACCTATGTGGTGTATTAGAATACTGTAATAGACATGTTCTATCATTTCGTATGTCCTATCGATCATATCTCCGAAAGGAATTCGGATGAAAAACCGAACCGATACGTTTCTGTGAAGCACCCAAATTGATGTACAGTAGCTTAAAACTGATATATTTTTTAGGCTGATGAAGTATTGAATTGAAGAGAGTGTCGGTATGTGTGTTACGAATTGTTCAGTACGACTAAATTTTAATGCTGTAGTTGCAGAGGGTTCGTTGGGCCGGGCTTTAACCATTATTATTTTTACAGAGGTCTTTCAACCGAGATTTGATGATGATGTTGGCGAGGGAAATGTCGAAGATGAGGTCGGACTGCCCAGAGACGCTGTTCGCATTCAAACGCTTGGTAACGAACGCGCACTCTGTTTGGCTAAAAAGGATGAAATTGGAGCTTGATCTCAGCGATGCACCTGATGAGTTCAGAGGTTTGTGCATGTGCTGTTTTTTTTTTAATTTTGTGAACAATGGGTGAAAATTTAATTATCTTCGCAGATCCTGTGATGGATACTATTATGGAAGACCCCGTTGAGCTTCCCACGTCGGGTAAAATTATGGACCGGTCTACGATTGTGCGCCATTTGCTCAACTCTGCGACTGATCCGTTCAATCGGCAGCACCTGACGGAATGTATGCTTGTACCGGGTAAGGATTCGCATGAATTATACAGTGCTTAATTCCACTTGTCCCATTTCGGAATCGTCAAATGGTATTTTATAGCGAAGCTTGCAAAATACTCGTCAGTATTTGTATGTTATTTATTCGATAAGGACAAGAACACGTTGCTTGTTGTTATAGTCGAAATAATCAATGAAATATGGATGAGCTCGGTGGATGTCGTTAAATATTACGCAGTAGATGCAAGTTTTGTTTCGGATTGCCTTTCATTAAATGGTTTATGGCTAATCGGTTCATTAAATCTTTGATATTTACCTTGTTTTCGGGTTCCGTGAAGCATTTCCTTTTAGGCTTGTGCCATTAAAGATCAACTCCTGGTGGAGACAGTCGGAAAAATATGTAGTAAAGGCCGATAAACAAAAAGCAAGTACCCATGGTACTGTAATACTCCAAGTTTACTTTACAGTGAAGTTCGCTTCTTGTCTTTTCTTGCGTTTTCAAGAATATTTCTGCTTGTATAGAAAAACACTTTCATATGAAATAAAATCTCATTTCCTGCCAATTGTCTCTTTCGTAAGTTCTATGAGTTCCTGATAACGCGAGGAGAAGCAAGCGGATGATTAATTGGCTTTTTTTTCTGAAGTCCCAGCGCTGAAGGACTCGATCCGAGAATGGATTGAAACAAAACGCAGTGCGCTGGAAAAGCCGAAGGACTCGGAACGCGATTCCATGCCGCCATTGGACGATTCTGCTGAGAAATCAGACAGTGTCGCCTCACATTGCCAACCAGAACCAGTCGCTGACCCCGTGTCAACACAGGAAGTGGCTCCAGCATCAGATGACGCTATGGATACAAGTGGTGTTCTAGAGGAAGGCTCCCATGAATGAAAACGTTTCAATGTGTTTTATTTTCCCCGTGTATCGATGTTTGCATTGTGTTTTCAAGATTGTTTTCCCTACTTGTGCTACCACGGAACGTTTTGCGTTGCAGGTTTTTCTTTTTTGCTGATGCAACATGTGTTCTTTATTGTATACCGTCTGATCGTGCGTTGGAGTTCGGGATGCTTTGAGGTCATCTGGGTAGAAACCGGTAGAGAAGTCCGTATGATGGGCTAGAAGTGCAATTCTTTCTGCAGAGTGCATCGAGACGTAGGTTTTGTATGAAAACTGCTGCGTCCGTTTGAAATTTAGACCTGAGCGTTCAGCATTGATTCTTCGATATTTTTTTGCATTCAATAAAAAATAAGGTTCAGTATAACGTGGATGAGTTTTTCTCAAAAACTGGAAAAACAGTGTTCCGCGCTAATTTCCGAGTTTCGCCTGCTGACCTGTATTTACTCGAGCCTGTACGATTTTTTTGGCGGTCGATGGAAGATTATCATCCTTTCTTTCCATTCGATGAAAGCGATCTTCCGATAAAATCCATTTGAAAGTCAGGAACGTCGATTCACACGTCTTTTTGTCGTCGACTACGTCATGCTTGTCTTCAGTGTCGTTTGGGGTGATCTGTCAAAAGCTGCGCTTGTGTTTCAGTGCACTGTGAGGAACTCTTGAAATGTGGTAGCTCTTGTGGGAAACATCTTAATCGACCGACTGTTCCTGCGTGATGTCAGTGCTGGGGTGGGTGTATCGTGATTCACGGAAATGGTGAACCGTCAAGAAAGTTCCCGTGATAAGATTGTGACGGAAGAGGTGGTTGATGGGAGAAGAACTAGTGTGGATTTTTATTAAGAAGTATTCGGCCCTCCTTTTTTTGATTTGCGGTTCTCGTGACCTGAATGCGTGAATGTGTGCGATTTTTTTTTCGTGTGTAAAATAATAAAGTGATGGGGCGCCCCAAAGTTTTCAGCGATTTCTGTCATTTTGACTAGTGGAACGCGGCAGGTTTTCATCCGATTTTTTTTTTCAAGTGGAAGGGATGGATGTGACCGTGTATTGAATTGATACAGTGCAAACAGGAAATAAACGTTTTTTAATTAAGCTGTTGTTATCAATATTTCCGAAAATGTAATGCGTACGTTTTGTTCCTTCCAGTCACCTCGACCGCCTGAATGCGTTTCCTCAACGCCCTGTTGATGGTATTGTGACGAAGATCGGAAACTGAGTCACTGAGTTTGCCGAATTTGCATCGTCAATTTCTAGAAGTACTGTACTCCGAACGGTTTTCTGAAGGGATATTTTTTGCATCATCGATTCGCGGAAAAAATGTTCGACTGATCTCCGAAACGGATCGTCCTTCACCGTGCAGTTCCTATATTTATACCGCGCGCTTCCACATGGTGTAATCCGCGTTCGCGCACAAAATTGGCAGCAGGCAGAGAATCGTGTGACAGTAAAGTACCACGGCCCTGTTCGAAAGTTGAGAAAGAATTAATTAATCGCCATGATAATCGACAGACGTAAATATGTTACCTGCACATCGGCGGTCTCGATGAGTCTGTTCTATGTGAGTTATTGTTACATGTGCAATATTATTAAGGTACTGTACATCAGTGTGAATTTCCTGTGAAGCCGGTTTTGCAAGAGGAGCAGCATTTCGATCAAAATTGGGAGTTTTGCTGCAGGCTCCAGCTTGTTCACAGTCGGAAGATACTTCAATGAGTAGTCCGTGATTTATCCCTTGACCTGTCTTGTTCAAGATTGGCGATTCCGGTGATCTGACGGCTCCATTAGTTGATTTATCTCTCATTGTCATTTAATCACCATTATGTCTTTGGAAGAGTATTTTGAAAAAATGCCCGTCGTAGGCTTTCCTTAAACGCGATTCAGTGATCAAATTATGATCCTTTTTGCCGATAGGTGAGACTTATCTGATCGCTTTATCGGTCTGAGTGTGGTGGGATAAGGGATGTGGTGCGATCGTTGATCGCAATCCCGGGCGCGTGTGAATATAATAGCTACCATTTGTTTGACGTAGTTCCTTCGCACGTGGAGTGCGCCTCGTATTTATTAATACTGTACTGTAAGTATTCCATGACTAATTATATCGGCAAAGAAAAAGAAATTAAAAATTTTTCTGATGCATTGGTGACGCGGAGGAGTGTGGTATGAATCATGGGACCTGATAATATCTTCTGTATAAATACTAACTTGTGGTTTCTTGTACGTGTCTTGACCCCTTTATTCGCTCGTTCCTGCAAACCTATACGCCACCGACGAAATCATATGATGTGTAAATATGAATAATGAATTTTAATATGATCCCATCTTCCACCGCAACACGTACGGGGGCAATCATGTTTTGCTTCATGTGTTACGTATCCTGATGGCGAAATTCCGAATTCAAACACGATCTATCTACGAAACCATGTAAGGGTGCATTGATGTTCTGCTTTTCGAGTGCGCAATTGCGATTCACGTCCTTTACTTCCAATCCTGATTTCCTGGGCGGGTGGAGTTCTCTCATTTCATCATGGGATGGATTTTGAACAAGATTAGGGAGAAGATGGGATGAGCTTTGATGAAATTTTTGAGTCTAGTCACCTTGCAGACATTTTATTATTTTCCGCAGCGATGCCAGGTTACGTTGCTTTAGTTTGAGTTTTGCATCAGAATTCTGCCCGTAATCCGACGAACCGATGTATGAGATTATTCCGGACAAAAGAAAAGCTCCTTTTTGTGCACGGTCGATCGGGATGTTTTTCTGGTTCTATGATGTTCGCATGCAGTGACTAAAATTAAGTATTATTATGTATTCATGACGCGAGAAAGGACTGCTGTATCTCCGTCACTCACTTTCCGACAAGTGTTTTTCTCTGAACGCGTATATACGTCTGAACAAGGCCGACAACGTCACCCGAATCGCCAAGAGGATTTCCCACCGATGTCTGCCTGCGTTCTTTTCAGTGCAGACGGCAACAAGGAAATCCGCTTACGCGTGTCGACCTTGTTGAAACACACGTACTGAGTCACCATATTCCTTTACCCCTGAGTTATACATTATCCTTTTTGAATCCTATTCGATTTTCGCCGGGACTTTTTGTGGAGTGAATTAATAGCGAGATCTTTTGAAACGGTTTGGACTCTTTTCTGGAAGTGAGCAACGGTAGGAGTTAATATAATCGAAGCAGCACAATCTGAGAAACTCTTGCGTCGGAAGGTCAGTACTGTATCTTTAAATTAATTTCATATTATTAAACTCTCGTTACCAGTTTTACCACGATAAGTTACGCACTTCTTCAAATTAAGATAATGAATCTTGAAATTGATTCAGTTTGTTCGCATATGACCTCTGGTAGGAAAATGAAACCGGTGAAGATTTGTTTGCTCCTTGATTACAATATTGCGGATCCACAGCTTGATGTAAGATTATTAATTTTTTGGGCGGTTCCTTAGGAAAATTTATAATTTTGAGCTCTTGCAAAAAAGCATTGTCCTGCGTTATAAATCCTCGTCCTTAAGCGATAAAATAAATGGGTCGCTGAAAAGCACCTGTTATGGAATACCAAGGTTTATGACCCCGAGAACGTCTATCGAATGACAGGATACAAATACTTGTACATCAGTACATGGGACATATATTACAACCATTCACGGAAACTTTCCATTGCTTGAATCATTTATACTGCTCTTCCCATTCAGTCTTGAAGGTTATTGGCATGTAGCATTTTTTGAATGCTGTGCGGGTCCCGAAGCAATATGGGATACAGTATAGGACAATGTGCTTTAGATTCTTTAGTGGGAGTCAAATTTGATGCAATTTTGTATTTGTGCATAATATTATCTCACAAGCATTTATGTTTGTAAACTTTTGTTCTTCAACATCCTACAACATTCCCTTTTTGTCCTCTATGATAAAAAAAAACGACAAAATACGTTCAAAAATTTTTCTAAAGATCATTGCTGCAGTATTCATTTCTTTTCAACTTGATCTTCTATTCAAACTTGGAGGGATCCACAACAAAGTAAAGCATCAAAATTTTATCATTTGTGCAAATCATAACCGAGTATCCGTGTGTGAAAATTATGAAAGAGAAATTCGAATTGACACCAATCCTTTCAAAATAGTGCAGTATTTATCTACAAGATTTTGAACCAAGAAAATCTGGGGTACGCTTCTTAAGCGGGTATACATTTATGTGAAAATTATTTGCCGAAGTACTAAAGGTGTGGGTCTTGCTCGAGGGCACCTACTGGAGTGAATACTGTTTATGTTTTCTCATCATTTGATATTTTCCCGTTGTATTTGCACTTGTGTGACTGAAACGCAAAGTGATGCTGACGTGTTTTCTCTATCATTCAGGTGATGGGATCGATCACATCCATCATGTGACAACTACTCACCCATTGATAGGATCGAACTTATCCGAGAATGAAGCTTCCATGTTGAGCGTCTGCAAATTGTGGAGGAAGGACGAGCAAAGGAACACCGCCGCTGCAAATTCGCAGCCCTTGTGCACCATCGCGTCCAGCGTGTTCTCCGTTGTTGGAAGTGCCATCATTCCTGGAACGCGATCGAGGAAAAGCAACGACGGTGATATAAAATGCAGCAGAACTCCGTAGTTAGTCGTGCTGAATGTTTGGATTTGCGTATGAGAGAAAAAGGATAGTGGCGTGTGTATACCTAATTTCTACTGAAGCCACTCAGTGCAAACTCTATTAATACCCACCGAGATTTTCGGAATTTCCGGAATGTGAAGTGGGATCACGATTGATTACTCAAAATGTATTGGATAACAATTTCTGGAGCATTGTTTTGTCCTGGCAACCCTAGCCAATAATTACCGTGGGTAATCAGAATTCGGCTTAAATTACGATAGTTTAAAGTCTAGAGGATCCACTCATCCATAGAACTTCACGCGGGTATCCAAGTATCAAAGTGAGTTATTCAAGACATTTTTTTCTGAATTCATCTCAATTTTTGTTACGTTGGTTCGAAATTTGTACTGTAATAACATATTTATAATGTGAACGAATTCAAGGCGAAGTTCGCAGTTGAATAATGATGCAGGAGTTTTCGATATTTTTAAAAAAACCAGAACAATTAAGGCGGGTTGAAATATGAAATAGATGAATGTTTACTATTAAGCTGTTCAGAATTTTCAGTCAGTTTAATACATTTTTTTTCATTTTCTGCATTGTTGTATATTGTGGTTATCAATATATCTTAACATGACCATCAGATTTTATGCTGACGAGTCATTCGGAATCAGTAAGTTCCATCTCCTTCTGGGTTCTTCCCGGGTGCGCATCAGGATTTCTAAAATAATAAGGGTTTGCTTGAGCTATTGATGCATTTTGAATAATACGGACTACGTTTTTCCCCTCCTTTGCAAGAGTTCTCAGAATTCTTTGAACGTTTAGGGCGCTTCTGTGTATATGTACGTGTGTTCAACCAAATGTGTGAAACGCATTAAAAAGGCTAACTTTTTATTGCACCGGAATTTTCTATGTGAGCATTATATAAATTATACTGCGAATGCCTCAGAAATGTTGATCAAAGTTCACTGTATTACTTCAGCAGTGTGTTCCTTTTTCTCGAAATGCTGATTTGAAGAGCTTTTGCAGAATGTTGTGCTCAAAGTTCATTTATACCACGTTTTTTTTAATTCCATTAATTTTGAAGCATGTATTTTTCTTGCAAACGTACAAGTGTTACAACATAATATTGATTCCTCGAGAAACTGAAAACATAGTACTGTACTGTACTGTACGGTGATGGGATTTCTGAGAGTTAGTTATTTAAAGTTTAAAAAATGCAAGTTGCCGATCAGGTTTTAATTGAATAACCTTACCAAAAGTTACGTCATTAAATCCCAATTTGCTGATCACGAAAAATCTTGTTCAACATAAAATGTGAAACGACGGATATTGATCTTAACACGTTTGAAAGATAATTCAATGGAACGTGATCAACTTTATTTTTCAAGATGATCGTCCATCTTGAGGAGTTGATACATAAATTATAAAAAAAAATTTTTCATCTTCTGACCCTTTCCATGTAGTTTACATATAGAGAGACCCCGAAGTATCTTCCAGTTTCATTTTCTTCTCCAATAATGGGATTCCGTAGGAATCAACACCTAATCACAATAATTTACCCCGTTTCTTTCGAAATGTTTTTCCTTCTCTATCCGGAGCCCGTCTATCATTATTGACGTCGGCAAAAATAGCGCTGGTGAAACGTGCGTCATCCGCGTATATTCCATCTCTTCGCCGCATAATATTCCAGTTTTCGAAGCGCGTGATTGTGTTTCAAGAAAAATTGATGCACACGGGGTGCCTTTCATCCCAGGAATCTGGATCAGAAGCTCATCCTTTTAATGAGTCCGGTTGTTGACGAGTGAAAGAAAATGAGTGCCGGTCTGGATGAAGGCCTGACATGAACTCGTCAAACACGCAGTCACGCACACGTGTCGCGCGGATCGTGTCCGCAGGGGAAGAATGGATGATTCTTTTTGCGGGGTCCGCAACCTTGTTCCAACTGCTGTACCACATCCGGTATATATATTGGGATTTTTCAATCCCAATTTTTGGATATATTGGGATTTTTCAATCCCAATTTTTTTTTCTACTGTGGGTTGTGTCACTTTTAGCTGAGCTTGTATCAACTTCCTCTTTTGTGCTACGCATGAGTCTCATAACTTCAACTCAGGATAAAGGAGTGGCATTTTGTTTAGATAGGCTTTCAGTGACTTTGAAAATTGCATACAGGTAGATGCATACTTTAAACCAGTGTTGCCCAACCTTTTTTTGGCCCACGGACCAGCAAATTCCCGAAATATTTCCTGTGGACTAGCAAGGTTTCATAAAATATGTTGGCAGACTCGCAAAAGTTTAGCTTGCAAGACTTTATGGCAAGTACTGTATTTAAAAGTTGCTACTGTTCGCAAAAATTGAGTTAAGCACCAATGAAACAGCTATAGCTGAATGTGATTTTTGAAAATTAGAAAGGTGGGCTTGAAGAAAGCTTTCTCAGAATGAAAAATTGAAATACATTTTTTCAGCTGGTGAAAACTGGTCTGAAAAGGTATTACAGTAGAAAAGCCAACTTTCATTTTCATCAAATAATTTCAATTGTCCTTTCAAAATTGCAGGTAAAGAGAACCAACTTTTTTGTAACTTTTGATGAATTTATTAAGCAGAAAATGTCCTGCGGACCGTCAAGAAATGTCTGTGGGCCATTGCCAGTCTGCAGACTAAAGGTTGGGGAACATTGTTCAAACAACCTTGTTTGAAGTGGTACCAAATCCGGTAGATTAATATTTTTCAATCTTCCTTTTCCTTCGATAATATATATATTTTCTTCTGTATCACTTTTATTCTATGTTAAGTCAATGACTTCAACCCTCAAACTTCAGTAACTTGAATTTTGAGCATTATTTAGAATAATTAATCTGGGAAACTAGGAAGGAGAGAAGAAAAACGTTTACTTGGTCCATTTTAAAAGGATATGAGAGACTGATTTAGGAAATCTATCCTTTCCCCGCAAGTTCCGCATCCTGTCATTATATTTATCAAACGATTTAAAGCCCAGAATATCACCAGTGTCACCTTTCCCTTATTGCTTCATTTCTTTTCCGATCAAAAATTCTGGCTTTCCCAAACTCCCTGAATAACTTTTTTGTTGGTCCCGCTCAGTTCAACTTGAAGAGGTTTGACTTAAATTTAAACTTGATATTCTCAAATCAGGGATTGAATTCTTTGAATCCATTGTAATTCGAAGTTTAAATTACGCTAATAATTACTGTACTGCAAATCGGCAGTTCGGAGACACAAAAAATCGTTATTTTTCTCCCCAAAAATAATTGGATGAACAAAAATGAAGGAAAAATTATGCATGAGAATAAAATTCAGCTTAGCACGCACGAACGGAAATTTTTTTTCTTCACTTTTTCCCCCCTGCGTTTGGCCGTGTGTTGAATACCCTTGTGTTATTGGATCCTTCCTGCTCGTCGCCTCGACACACAGGAAGCAGCTTCTGTGCGTTCGTGAGTGTTACAGTATCTCGCAAATTTTATTTCTTTCAAGTTGATCCGCGACCTTATAGATCATTTAACTGAGAGAGTTCATGCGTACGTGATGTGGTGGATCTCGTTGCAGTGTCCAATTTTTAAATATTTTGTTGACAGTTTATGTGGAATCCCCACGAGATAATATGAAAAAAGCGATAGGAAGAAATAATTTTTCTGCTGAAAGAAGGTGAAGTGTGCAATCGAAAAACTTTCCCGTCGGCGAATTAATTTTTGTTTATCATAAAAAGCTTTTGGTTTTATTGTAGGGCTTCGAAAAAAAAAACGCAGTTCACAGTTTTGGATAGTTGGAATGGGAAGGAAAGGTACGAGGATACGTTCATACGTTTTGTCGCTCTGATACGTTTCCCTTGTTTTTGCGTGACGTTGGTCATGAATGTAATTTTATTTAAATATTTGATAATTTCCTGACCGTTTCCCCGGTTGTGAAGGATAGAAATGTAGAGGATTTCAAGTAATGTACTCCTCGAAATTTAAAGAAAGAATGGTCTACTGGTAACTCCTGCGGAGTTTAAAAATGCGCAGTCGATCTAATTTATTTTAAAATGTTAGCAAAAATACGCTTACAGTATTTTACAATAATCTAGGTCTAACAAATATCTTCCATTAAGATACGTGCCGAAATATTGACAGTTGATGCGTTATTCGATACTGTAAGACAATTTCTACACAAGGGTATTACGTTTAAAAAAAATGAAAATTCCTGTAACGAGTGCAAGTCATACATGATTCACTACAAGGGACCGAGAGCCAAGTCTTCTAGTATGTGAGCAATAATCATCCAAACAAACAATTATTGTTTGATAGGAAAAATTCGAATTTCTGGCCAGCGAAAACTGAGGGAAGTTACTTTTGCGGCGACAGAGTTTTGGGCAAATTCCGACCGAAATGGCCGAGTTGTGCGTCTTACTTGAAGACGTAAGGTATGTACAAGCCAGTAAGGTCTATAAGAGTATATACAGTGTTCGTAATTTCTATAGTTAATTTTGTTTTTGAATCCTGGAATATTTGAAATGACTCACCGACAGACGCACCCATGACTAGGAACCCACAGACACTCAGGAATGGAGGGGAAATCACGTAGGTGAGCGAGTCCATGGCCGCGAGCGACAACGAACCCACGACTCCGGCGGTGCAACTGCAAAAAAAAAAAAAAATTGTGAGACGTTCAGTGAGCAATCCCCCTTTCATTTCTTTCTTATGAAAAATCACAAATAATCTTTCCGTGTGCAAAAAAAAAAAAACAGGATTTTTATTTTTTAAGCTTTTTTTTTCGTGGGACTTGCACCACTTTCAAGGAGAGCCAGTTTTCAAATACTGCACAACTTTGAGGGTGTATATAACCAACCGTGCAGGGCTTTTCGTGGTTGTTATGAGTGTAACTCAATTTTCATAAATGTTGCACTGTCTATCTACTTGAAAGGGGATAATTTTGATTCCCTTTTCATATTGAACTTTTATTGTTTAATGACGTTTTCACCCATTCATGCAAATGCAATCTTTCAAATTTAATTCAATTCAAAATTGAAAAAGAACTGATTTGACGAAACTTGAACGTCGTGAAACTTTTATGTTCGAAGCGCACACGAAGAATTTCAACGCATTCATTCATTCTGGGAAATACTTCATTCGCTGTCTATCGAGTGAATTTCGAATTGAAGCACTTATATTTCAATTAACCTCAATTGATGCATGGAAATGATTGATTTTGGAAAAATTGAACGACGGTTATTTTTATCCGTCCATTAGTAGTTGTCTCTACTTGATGTTCTTAACGCCCTAACATTATGTCAAAGTGGTGATACATTCTAAGTAATTTTTAAATTCACTCTATGGTTCAAGTTCATTCAGTTTTTTTTCCAATGCCGCGGAGAGAAAAAAAAATCTTTTTTATTCCCGGGATTCGCCGATAATATCTCCTTTTTCTTTTCAGTAACCTGTCGGAAACAAATGGTTGACGGACAGACGGGAAAAAATTATAACGATGAAGTGGCGGAAAATTAAAGAATTCGAAGCTGTAATTTATGTTTTTCGCAGATTCGTGCACAGTTGTGAGGTGCATACGCGTGAACCGAATCGGCGCGTTTGTTTTCTGGTGACGTGTGTGCGTCTGCGTGTGTCGTGCGTCTTGTGCCACAGTGCGAAAATCGGGACTAAAAATCGACAATTTTGAAAGTGAAGAAACAACGTCGTGTGTGGGGGCTCTCGTTTGTCCCCGTCTTCGGTGCTTTTTTTCAAGTGTTTTAAAAGCTGCAGATGCATCGGAATTAACGGGCTGGAGGAACATTCGGCGGGTGTTATTTCTTACGGATACCAGGTGAGTGATTATTGTGTTTCAACACTGTTTTTTTTCTTGTATCAACATTCGAAGTTCTGTGAATTTGAATTTTTTGAGTGGAGTATAACTTCGATTATCCGGGTTAGTGACTGGGTTCCCTTGCACTATAAAATATCTCGGATGGTCGAATATTGTTGAAAATAGGCTGTTTATCGTGTTAAAAAAGTTTTCGAGGAAGACATATATACCGTAATTGTTACGAGTACCATATTATTATTAACGTCGTCGAAATCATGAAATGTATATTCATTAGCCAAAATTATTGTTCACTTAGAATATAATATTTAATACATTTTAAATCGAAAGGATTGAAAGCGACTTTTCTTGCTCGCAATTTATCGGAATTTCGGAGCTGTTCGATGTAGTCTCTAGCCCGAATTTAATTTGATTTTTGCGTTTGTATAGTTTACGAATCGAACTTTTTTCATTCTTCTTTGTTTAAGGGTCGATTTTTTGGATTCTTCGTAACTTTTCGTTGAAATACTGTACTTCAATTTTTTCAACGTTGTTAGGCAAGCAAATTAATGATGTAATTGACTTGAATCTTCTAGAGTTTCACCTCCCTCTTAAAACCGAATGACAAGCCTTATGAGGTGACATCTGTCCCCAATAAACGTTTTTTTTTTATCCGTTTCTTCGAACTTGAATCCGTTGGAACTTTTTGAAACTCAATAGATGACAAGAAATAATCGATGATTATTATACCTGAGATGAACTCGGATTTAATGAGATGATAAACTCGAGTTGAATAAGATAACCCCCCCCCCCTCCCACAGTTGAAACATCGGATTGCCTTCTTAATCAATTCAAAAAAACCAAAATTTTCTTCTCTATGATCGTAAATTTGAAGAAAGACACGTTTCGGAACTTTTCTTTCGTTTTACCAAGAATTTCTGTGTTCGATTTTGTTTCAACTATGGGATATTGGATTTCGTGTTACTGATCGATGTGTTTTATTTATACACGATAATTTTATGAAAAGGTTATCATAAAAGGTTGTTGTTCATGTAAGGTTTTCAAGGCAAATTTTTCTTGCACATGGTTAAATGCTTGAAAACACCGTCTGGTGAATTTTAATGAGCGGTAATATTGTACCGTACTTTTCATTGCTTTAATATTCAATTTTATCCTTTTGTTTTCGACATTGCACGACTGAAATTATGCCAATCTAAGTAACCTAAGCTAACTAGACTTATCTAAACTTGAAATTAATTAACCTAAGATAATAAGGAAAGATTGGCTAAACTAAAAAAAATGCAGCTCAAGTTCAAACTAACGTAAGAAAACATTTTTCACGAATCTCACCGAATTCTATAGTAACGAATCTGATCTAGAACCAGTTATTGGGTCATTCTACAGTATTTATCGTGTCATTTATGCAGGAAAATTATTGGATCAAGCTGGAGGCGATCGTTGGTGCTGCTGACTGACTATTGTACTGTAGTTCCTTTTGATTGATGTTTTGAGGCCAGTGACCATGGTTTTCCCTTACCCCAGAAAACTGCGAAAAAAAACGTCGCGTAAGAATAGGGTTTTATAATAACAGAGGCGATGATATCGCGGAATATCATTACTGTATTTTTTCTTTGCCTTTGTCAATTGCATGTTCTACTCATCCGTGGATGTTGGAAAGTGTCGCCGTGAACGAGATGTTGTTGAACCTATTTCTGGAACTGGAGACCTTTGAACAGCAACCTGACATGGGATAGGTATAGTGCAGTATTTTATTGAGAAAAAAATGCGCCTCATATTGAGTAGATTGAAAATTTAGGACCAAAATATTAAAACAGAAGTTTCCTAAGCTGAATTTGAATTTAAATGAAGGATCATTTCCAGCAGGAGCAATCTAATTGTTGCTTATGCTTGTGCAATTTTTTGTTGCTTTTTGGGCTCCTTTGCAAGCCAAAAGATCAGATTTTCTGTGCTTTTCTTCTGCGCAATTATTTTCTCTTTCTCAAAGTTGAATATATTTTCGTTCAGATTTGAGGGATAACGTAATCTGACATGCGAACACAGGGAAAATGTCCGAACACCAATTACGTCCGCATCTCGGGTCCCCGCTGCTATTTTAATGTCACTTTTCCACCCTTCATAGTCTCACGTTCCCATCCATGAACTATTCTAAAGGTTTTCGATTTAGTGTCCCAAATTTGAGCTTATCAATTTTTTTTTAATGCTCGACTTTTCGTCGCGATATTTTCACATGGAACCGAACGCCTCAATCGCGCCTTGGAATCGGTCGTCGGGGAAGAAACCAAAATACGAAGATACTGTGAGACCCCCACATGCGGACACCTTGACATGCGGACAATTCAACATAGGGACACTTATTTTTACATACAAAATTAATAAGAAAGGCATGTCATAGGGACATTTTGTGATAAAATTGCAAATACATTTCCGGCCAAATTTTACAAGTAACACATATTTCCAACCCTAAAATTGATGTAAGAAAAGTTCTTGGGCATTTCTCTCACCAATTTACCTTTCATTTAGCTGATTTAAAAATTTATTTCCAGCATAGAGGGACTTCCTTCTCTCGTTTTCACTTGAATGTTCTTTTTACAGAGAATGCCAACATTTATATTTACTGTACAGAGGTATCAGTATTCAATTCCCCAAATGTCCATATTGTGTTGAAATATATTGATTGAATATGTTTAAATTCGGAGACAATTTTTATTTTCATATAATTATGGTGAGTATTTTGTCCATAAAACACCAATCACAAATTATATAATGCAAGTCTAAGGGAAAATTAGACTCAACTTAGGGACACTCTTGATGCACCAAATACGTCCGCATCTCAGGGTTTCACTGTAATGAAACATTGAAAAAAAAATATATATATATATATATTCACCCAGAAGCGCGGAAAAAGTCGGCGAAGCTGACGCGGCAAAACGGCGCCAGTCCGACGCCCAACAGACCGCAAGCGGATGCCCAAGCGAGCTGTTTCCAGCGCAACGCGCGACGTCGCGCGATAACATTAGCCACGGTGGCGTCGTCGTCGGCCAGGGCCCAAGGTGACGCCGCTGCGGCGCCACGAAGGTACCCGACGGCGCCGAGACGATGCTCGTGTCGGCGATGCGGTTGTTGTGACTGCTTATTCATGTCCTCGTGCCGCTTTTTGCGCCGCTGCGTCGGCGTCGGCTCGTAAGGCATGGACCAGGTCACGCCAAACATTGACAGGGCCCCGGCCACTGCGACCACCAGACCACTTACACCCTGTGTACCACATGCAGTCGAACCATTTTTCAAGTCGAATTTCGAGGGACCATGAAAACAAATATATCGAGTTGGGGACGAGGTTTCAAGTGACGGGAAGCAAGCATTCTTGTTTGTTGTGGGAAAGAAAGAAAAATTGCGGGACATTTTAAACGGAGATATTCTGGGCCTTGCATTTTTCTTGAATGTGTTTACCTACCCAGTCAGCTTAAATCCTCTTGAATTTCTCGTTTAAAATTTGGAAACAGTGGAACGCTCCTGCGGATCTCAAGTACCCAGTCCTCTCGGGGACTTTCGTGCAAACCTTGATGAAAGATGCTCTCAACATTTTAATGTTGTAATCTGAAATATTTATTTCGAGATGGAATAGGCATCTCGCATCTTTCGCGAATTCGTTGGTCGAATCAGAAATTTTTCAAAATTTCCATCTCCTTTGTTTCCGCCAACGATAAATTTGGGATGAGGAGATTTCGCGCGCAACGGCGTCCGAAATTTAGTAATTTTCGCTTCCCTAGTAAATCTCGGGAGCCTAGTTTTTTGAGTTATTTTTAATTCTTTTCTTCTCAAATGGAAAAATACCTTCATCGAGAAACCGTACAGTGAGGCTCGTAAATAGGATTTTAGTGATGAAATTTTATGGCAACCCTAAACGCGTATTTTACCTTTTTGTGTTTTGTTTTACAAAAATTCTTGAACTTGAGTATGCCACGGATTGATGTTCCCAAAAATCTTGTACGTGTTCACAGCCGTAGTTGTGTAGTATTTTCCGAAGAATATGTTATTCCTTGTTTTGTAGAATTTTTGTGTCACGTATGGGTAAAATCTCTTTTTTTACTGGCAAATTATATTAATTTGCATCTCCAATAGGTTCTACGTGGTGATTATTTATGATCGTTTCTTTCTTTTGTTTTTGGAATTATCGCCCGAATCTCGGTCTGGAATTCTGGTGAGAATGTATTACTCAAAGCATTGGATTTTCCATTTAAATTTTTACTTGAGTTATTTTTACGTACGTCATTCAGATGCTCTTTGGAAGTTCTTTTTCGTACGTTGCAGTACTTGTTTCTAGTTTTTTTTTACGTGTCGGTGCTCAGCGCAGGAATTTTGATGAAAAACAGCGCAAATTTTCATGCTCGCATCGAGTTTATGCGCACTTCATGTGACCTATTTTTCTTTCTGCGAATTTTGTAACGCTCGATTGATGAGTTTTTTCTCGTGTTCGAAGTGATTCTGATGCGCTGAAATTCGTTGAAATCTAGACTTCTGAAACTTCATCCCGTCGGATGAAGAATACAAATTTAAAATCTGTTCCCGATCCTTTTTGAACAGTCGTTATTTTTTGCCTCATCAGACTGCAACGTGAATCTGAAGTAAGAAAAAAAAAGCATGAGCTGTTGTACATCAATGTGTTCATTTTTATATTTTTTTCTGGCTTCCCTATCAATAGTTGGAATTTAAGAACGGATTTGACATTGTCCCATGAGTCAGAGGCCTTGAAGATTTTATTATTGTGGAAAACTCCATTAAAAAGCCAGCACCGGAATTATCTCCAATCTGGTGCAAGAAAAGCCGTTCCCGTCTTCATGAGCATAACTTTTGGGCAAAACAACCAAAATAAAAAGAAAATGCCCTCCGAATTTCAAAATTTCTTTGAATGCATTTCATTTGGACAAACGTAATATAAATACATATAAATCCATGCTATAAATATATGTTCGGTGTAAAATTTCAAACCTCGTGGAGTTTAAGTTTCTTTGGGCAAGGGTTCAGAACGGACTTTCCAGTTTTTTTATGTAACCCTTTTTCAGCGATTGGATTTTTGTTTCATATTTTCTAAAATTATTATTGAAATTGGCTCGCAGTATCAATCAAAATATAAGGCGTGCTTGAATGTTCCGACGAACTGTGCAGTTCTCGCCTTCCGCTAAATTAGTATCGAAAGATCCGAGTAACTTTTTATAATTGAACTGCTGAAAAAACTTTCACCTTCCTGCTAAAGATTTTGAACATTCGATTTTCTCGAACTTTTAAAATTTATAATTTGAAGTCAATTTTGAAAATTGTCATCCTCGAAAATAAAATAAAAAGCCGCGTGTCTCTGATGGTAGTACAGTAGTAGCGTAAATTCTTCAATTAAAAATAAATTTTAATAATGCATCCTCGTAATTGCGTTGATGGAAATTCGCGATCCAAGTACAACATGTTCTCTTCTTCATGATGGAATTTATCTGATACTTTTGAAAGTTAAATCACAATTCCGTATTGCCGATCGAAATTTTAAAAATATTCCAAGCAATTTCGTCCCATGAACCACTCCGTTCTTCTGTCTGCTATTAATCCTTTCACTTTTATGTTCGCTTTTTTAAATTTCTTCATATAGTCGTTTCGAAAAAAGAAACCATTGTTCATGATCACTTGAACTACTTTGGAGGAAAGGGGCGGGGTTTTATTGTTACTTTTTCGAAGGGTAATTTGATGGAAGAAGGAAGAGATGGAGATCTCACGGTTCCTTCGGGCTCCCAGAGCAGATGTTGCTTGATGCCGGGCACCAGGTGGAACACAGTCCATGCTGACATTCCAGTGATGACGAACCCACCAAACACGTAATTGAGAATGTCCAGTAGCCTGAACCGCACCTCATCTTCGTAGGGTGTCCTGAAACATCCGATTTATTTGAGTACAAAATACCAAAAATCAGGGCGTGCTTTGTATTTCAACGTTTAAAAAAAAGCCTTGTGAAATTTTCTAACAATAAACGTGGACAGTCTTTTGAAAAAAAAATCGTCAAGGAAAACCGTCATGACGACATTATTGATTTTCTGAAATAATGTACAGTACAATAATTAGTTTCTTCATATCCAAGTTCCCCCTCCCCTGATGTTGGAATTTCGCAACGTCGCATTCTCAAATATTTTTTTAGCAATATTCCGTAGAAGAACCGCGTTTCCGAAAGGAATACTGATATAAATTCGTCACAACACCAGCAGCTGTTACCCAAGTGAAAAAATACTGCACCAGATATGTTTTTATTGAAGGAATATGTGATTTTATTTTCAATAACATGAATAGAAAGGTAATATTTATTCAGAAGTACTTCCTTCTAATGCGAGAAGAAAATGTGGAAGAAATTTGCAAGCATTTTGGCAATTGTAAAGGAAACAGGAGAAACTTCTGTATCATTTTTTGTCGTAATTACTGTACCATCAAGAAATTACCTCACGTAAGACCATTGAGAAAGTTCATCTTGGTGTATTATCGATATCGTTTTGTGTTCAATGGTGTCAGATATCCTCGAAATAATTATCAAATATTTTTGGTACAAATGGTTCAAAGCTATAAAACTACAGCACAATCAAATTATTTCTCACCACAATTTTAAAATTGAGAGTAAAAGATATACAGTACAGTACAACCTTATATGTGTTGGCAATTTTGGATCACATTAAAGCTAATAACTGAATCAGTATGGAATTATCATTCTAAAGAATTCGGGTATACAATAAAATTGTGTTCTTTATTTTCTTCAAGGCGTATTGGTAGAAAATTTCGTCGTTTAATCGACGGTTTTTTACATTCGAATAAATCCGGTATCCATTACCGAAAGAAGAAAAAAAATTATACTGTACAAGTACTGTACAGTACAGTACTCTTAGTCGATGCTGACGTTTCCTAGTGTTGATGGTATAAATTTTCTGCGATATTGTGCACAGTATTTATTTTTAAAATTAAGATTTTAAAAATTTTCACGTCAGAATATTATTAGAAAATTTGCATTATAATAAAATTCATCATCTCGCGGGAGTTCTACTGGGTCAACCCATGTGCTTTGGAATAACTCCAGAATAGTTATTCCAACGATTCGCAGATGTCGCGGCTTTCCTTTTAATGTTCACCGAAGCAAAATGTTTCGTGCTGAAGGTTGTCGACCAACTGCAATTTTACCAAGTTGCATTTCTCCAAAGATCGGATCATAGCATCGTAATTCAAAAAACTTGAATGAAAAGCCACTTTATAAATAAGATGGTACGTTCAAATGGTGCAATTTTACTTGATATATTTAGCAGTGCATCATGACATTGATTGATTCGAACTGAACGAGATGGAAAGCTAGCTCAAGTACTGTAATCACTAACCGTGTATAGTGACTTGATCTGATTGATTTTTAAAAATGTCACGGTAACTCGATCAGTCATCTCATTCAAGAATCGCTAAGAATATGACCCTTTCATCATAAAATGAGCCACTCAATTCACGAAGACCCAGTTAATTTCCGTATACAGTACAGGAGTTTGAAAATACAATTTGTTCAGCATTAATAACATCTGCTGTGAACGGTGAGCAATCTGAATTTTATTTATTTTTATCTATCACCCAAGTTACAGTACAGTATATTATAATTTTGCAGCAGTTCGATGTTTCATCGGAAGTTCCGTTTCTCATCATAATTCGCATCTACTTAAATGACGGAATTTGAAAAAAATTAAGCCCGAAATCAGACGTTCTGGCGAGTACTGTTTCACAATCCCAGAAAATTAGATCGTAGGAAATTCGACGGGTGAACTTTTTCAAATTTCCTCATGAATGCTGTATGTGGGATTTACTTTCAACTCTCTCTTCCTCTCGTCCTGTTGCAAATGAAGGCAAAAATTAGAACAGTGGCCAGGATATTATCAAAAATTACTCATTGTAAATAATGTCCCCTAATCCACCCAACGGGTAAATACAAGACTGACAAGACTTTTGAACGAACCCTCGCACATGCTGAATCTTTTCTACTGAATTTTAAAACTCTGCATTACCGCCATAACTTTGTGTTAACGCGCGTGAATTAATGGGTCAGCATATTCCGTACTGAATAGGGTTCACTTCGATCGATTAATATTCATCAGGTCATCAACCCTGTTTTTCTCACCCCGGAAATTGAATATTGAACCTATATAATGGTTTCGTGGCGTACAAAGCTATACTTTTCCGGGAGAAATGAACCCATCGTTATTGGCCTCCCCCGAGGATCGGAAGACCATCGGAATGCCAATTTCCAAGGATTATTGAAATGGCTCGATCTCACCCCTTTTATTTCGTCTGAAAGCGATGTAAAATTCATTCGGGCTCGGAAGAAAAACGGGGCGAGGACTTTCTCCGTTACTTTTCCTTTTTCTCGTCGTCGTCGTCGATTACAACTGGTACTAGATCAATTCTCAGCATGGGAGGGAAGCCGAAGAGAAATAAAATAAACCCCAAAAAAAAAGATGGATGAAGAAAAAGAAGGAAGAAGTAGAAATAAATGAATAAATAAAATTTTGAAGAAGCGAGGCTTTCGCCGCACGCGACGCAACTTTCGCCCTGCGTAACAACCGCTTATTTTTTCCAGGCGTCGTTCATCGCTGTTCGCGTTCAGCGTTTTTATTTGCTGTAAGTACTGTAGATAGTGACTTCTGCTCATTTAGTTGGGGTAAGACTATCCGTATTTTACTCGAACGTTTTTTTTTCTTGCTCTCGGAAAAGTAGGCTTGAAAAATGAGGATGTGACTTCATATTCGATGGACTAATGGAGTCACACGGACTTGATGACGGCGTCATGCATTTTTTTTTTGCAGATGAAGTTCATGATTGTTTTTGCCTGAGAAAAATTCAATGATTACATCATGAAATTCAATTGATGAATTCTTTAAAAATTTAAAGTTTAAGGGCATGAGAGTTAAATTCCTGATTTTATTTTTTAAATGTGAAAATGTTAGAGAAGACCATAACTCCAAAAGGTCGTTAGAGAAGACTGCAAGGTGGTAACCGGAGCGTAAGTAAAATCGGAAATATATTTCAATTTATCGTAAAGGAATATAACATACTGAGAGTGCGTATTCGATTTTTAGGCGAAATTGTTCTAGGCCTAGGGTATGAGAGCTAGATTCCTCATTTTTTATATGAAACGTTTCGAGAAGATCATAGGTGTTAACTGGAGCATGAGTAAAATCGAAAGACTCTTTCGACTGATCCTGAATGCATTCAATGTATTGTAATATAAATGTGTATTGGATTTTTAAGTTTTAAGAGTTGAGCAACAAGATTCCTGACTTTTTAAATATGAATTTGTGAGAAGATTGTGAGTGATATTTGGAGCATGAATAAAATCGGACGACTTTTTCAACTAACCCTGAAAGGCTTTCAAGTGATGCTAGTGCGTTATTAGATTTTTAGGCATAATTATTTAATCATTTTTGACGCACGACAAACCGTGGCGTACTTCTGCCAATTAAAAAAAAGAAAATCCCCTCTTTATTTTTTATTCAATACTGCGTTCCTCTTTCACTGTCTTTCACTAGCTGGTTATTAGGAAGTGAGTTGGTGCCACGAGTAAACGAATTGAAAACTTGACCGGTGGGAAAAGGCTGCGTCATTTGATGTAATGGGAATTCCGCCCCTTTTTTTCTTTTCTTGTTTCGGGCTAAGAAGGCCTAATTAGCGGAACGAACTCACACAAAAAACAATTTGTGGGTGGCAGCGAAGTAAAATGACGCCCCCCCCCCCCCACTCTCCTCAGATTAATTGATTATTCCACGCTCTCAATCACTGATTATCAACCATCACAGACTTTAAAAAGTCATTACCGTTGATTTGAACGACCGTATCAATAAATAGCACAAGATGGGAATTTAAGTAGGCTTCATGAGAATATTTCTGTATTATGATGCTTGTTTTTTTTTTCGTTTTTGTAAAAATCTATTCTTTCTAGGTAATTTTTCATGCGAAGTAGGGTATCGTTATTGCTGCTCTCGCAGCTGATCTTTCTAAAAACTTTTTTGAGACTCCTCGTCCAACCACCTTATCAAATAAAGAGAGGTTGTTGTGCAATGACGTACCTTTAATGGAAAGACGAGTAAAATAATTTCCTCTCTCAATATTTATTTCAGAACGTTAGGGTATTTAGTTAATTTCACTTCAAAACTGACTCTTGATACCGAGAAAGTTGAGCAGGTTCCTCCTGAAGAACTTACGCCCCGACATGCGGACGATTCGATTAGGGACACTTCAAATTAGAAAAAAAAATCTGCACCATTATCCGTACAATTTCTCGAGATTGACAATTTTCAACTTGTCAAAATGTTGATAACTCTTGAAAAAATAGGGCTATTCATATACTGTACAGTAAACGAAAGTTATACAGTAAATACAGTACTTTGGTATACTGTACCTTTAATTTAATTCAGAATCCAGATATAGGTGGAGTTTTCTTCCATAATTTAATTAGAATCGCTTTTTTGCGTTTTCGGTTCCTCTGCATGCCAAAAGAACTGATCAAGCGTGATTTTCATCTGCACAGTTCTTTCTGTATCTTGACGTGTGAAAAATGTTATTTGGTGGGAGACTTTTCCCAATAAAAAAACAGGAGAACCCATTAAATAGGTCCCCATTGAAGTCTATAGTAGGAAAACGTGATCCCACGTAAATATTCCGACATATTCACACGGTCCAAGCAGCGATTACGTCCGCATCTCGGGGCCCCACTGCATTTTACAATATAGCCCCAAATAAAATCACTTAACCCGGAAAATGCGTACCGTATTTTATGCGACATCTCTGTGGTAGATGAGGAGATTAAAATCAAACCGTCGAGCTTTCAAAAGTGCAGTATAGTACAATACAGTATTATTGACAAAAGATAGACTTTTCCTGCTTTTAAATAAATGACGAATTAAAATGAAAATATTGGGTGTCCCAGGTTGCATGTGAACAGGATCTTTGGTCCGATTATATGAAGAGATTTTCATCATACTGCGCATGTAAAGTATTTCTCCCATTATCCGGGCTCATGAATGCCACAATAATCAAGTAATTCATTATCGAAAATAAAACTTGCAATAAATGGTTTTTAAGATGAAGAACACGTTCAACGATGAATTGGCAATGCTATTGTTGATGTCCTAACGCACCTAATTTATCGATGCAAAAAAATCAAGTCTGGAAGCAAGGCATGTAAAACATTAAAAATTAACATTATTTAATTTGAATGTGCAGCTTGCTCTTCTTTCACTCGATCAAAGATAGGGCGTAAAAATACGATTAATCGAAGTATTTTAAGCTAAAATTCTTCTGTTTGCGTTAATATTTTGATTCCCGATCCAAGAAGCATTTTCTCGTGATCAATCATTTTTATTGGACTTAATGAAGTAATCGTGCGTGGAAAAAAAAAATGCTGTTCCCATCTTGTCTTGTACCGTTTTCTTATTTTTTTCGTTCTTTTCGGGGTTTGGTTCTTTTTTTCGTGGGGATTCGGATTAAGGGAATCGTTTTACAGTTGTCGTGAGTGTTGGGGGGGGGGGGGAGAAGGTTCTGTGTCAAGTCGTTGCCGTTTGCTCCAGTTCTCGTTGTGTGCCAGTTTTGGAAAAGACCGACGTGTTCCGCCGTTCGAAACGGTTCACTTGGTCGACGTCCGTGATGAAAGAGAAATCAACAAAAAGCCCGTTTTCTGTGTCAAAGAAGAAATGTTCTCTCCGGGATTGAATTTTATTTATTTATTTTTGTTTCCCGAAGCGAAAAAAAAATTGAATAGGAAGAAGAAAGAAAGAAAGAAGCGAGTGTCGCCTGTCTTGGTGAGATTTAACGCCCCCCTCCCCCATTTTTAATGTCTTTCAGGTTCTTTCTTTGAATATTATGTGTGCGGGCATTGTTTTGTAAAAGCCGTTTTTAACGTTTCTTAAAAACTAAATTTTCCTTCATTGAACGGGATTTCTTTTTAGTATTATTGTACAGTAATTGTGAGTGGTTTGATAGAGACGCAGGCTTGAAGTTTTTTTTTTTAATTATGAGGGTTGGATTATTGTGAGTCTCGCTACTTGTTCAATAAAATTTTACGTTATTAGTCTTTTTTATAGAGTTGTGTATCGTATGATGATTTCCCGACAACTGTTCTAATCCTCGCTTATGCAGATTAAATTTTTGAGATATGTCTCACAAATTAATGAATTTAATTTGTGCTGACATATGTTCAGAAGCTTCATCTGTGAAATATGTCTACGGGAGGCATCGATCTACGTCCCGTTCCTAAAAATTATGACCGAATGCTTTTATTTTATTTTCAACGTTTGCTGTTTTCATGTTGGTTCATGATGCGAAGTATGAATTTTGCTCCTGAAATTTGATGAAATGATAAACCAAATCAGAGCGTCAGTTGAGAGAAAATCCTTCGAAAATTGAATATTGCTTCGAAGTTTCTCTATCAATCCCACGGGAGTTTGAAGGATCATGGCTCACAAACTTTGGCGCACAACGAACTAATTCATTTTAAGTACTGAAATGACTTTTGAAGCTTCGGTGGGGCTTTTGTTTTGTGTTACTGTAAGCCGAGGGTACTCACAAAGTGTCGCCGTCCCAGCGACTCGCCCTAGGTACGGAGCCAGTACTTCTTCGGTACCAAAGAATCGCGATTGCAGTGCACGTGGATCCTGTCAACATGATTTCCCCGAGTCCCATTTCCCTGGGTTTCGTCGGATCCACTGCATCTGAAAACCCACGAAAATGTATCAACGAAACTGTAGATTAAAAAGAGTTTTCGTTTTGAAGGATTATCCATCTATTTTTTTCCCCGAGACGTTTCCTAAATGACGTATGCATTTTTTCATCCGTCTTGCAAACTCGATCTCGGAAGAAATAAATCGACATCATTTGGAAAGGAAATTTAATGAATGCAGTACAGTACTTAAAAAGAACCGTCGTCGTAGCAATTCAGGAATCTTGAGAGACGTAAAGTTTATGTTCTGAAAAGATTCTGGCTTTCATTTTGAACTTCATTTTTTTGAAGGCATTTTCCCTTGAATTTTGAATTTTTTTGGAGTTATCTTTCCTATAATCGGGTCAGGAATGGTTGAGAAGGTCTCTTGTCAGAAGGATATTTATTGGATATTTACCTGAAAATTGCCAGGAAAACAACATGCGGAAGATCGAGTTTTTCTTTTACACAAATTCCTTGCCTATTTCCCCCCTCTTTTTCTTTTTAATTATTGAATCATGTATTGCGGTTTCAGAACTCGTAAAGAAAAGGCGGCCTCGTCGGAAACAAAGTTATGTGTATGCAACACGATGTTCACGAGAACCTAAAAAACAAGAACGTTTCTCATGTTCGACAGATTCATGGCCCGAAAATAAGTGGAAACCCCGTGAATAATGCGACGTTTTGGGCGGGTCCTTCATTCGCTTTGCTGATGGGGGAGAAGAAAATGGGTATACGGTATATATATGTGGAAAATACCAGAGGAAAAACGCTTGAACCTATCGCTAAACGCAGGAGACAGAAGAGGGAACTTGGAAAGAATTTATAGCGGAATGACACGGCATTATCGGACATTCTTTCTCTGGGAATACTTGGCTCCGTAATATGAGATTATTATTATTTTTTATTTCTTTTCTTGTCGGTTTACGCCCAGTGTTTCCATAGTGTTCCACGCTTTTCCGGCGAGTGATTTCAAGTACAATACCGAAAAACTGCGATTGTCTAAATTCTGAGATTTTGTTGTGTATTTTTGGGGATTTAGATAACAATTTTTCTTTCTTTGAAAAATGTGTCCGTTAAACTCTAGTGCGATCTCTGCTCGAGATCCATTAGTATACGATGCATTGAGCTCTTTTCAAGTGTGGCATATCCTTGAGATTTTATCGCATTTTTGTTGAAAAACTTTAGAGTATATGTTGTCAAACAAGTTGAATACTGTATGCATATTCTATTCTTCTGGAGGTCTTTGAAGTGCTCCTTATTCTAGTCAATTTTTAGATCACTTTTTCGAAATTCAGATCATCTTAAATGACAGCTAGTTTTATTACCAATATTCCAATGTTCTCTCTCATTCTGGGGAAAATTAAATGAAAGCAAAAATCATTACATAAAATTCAAAAATGTCCCCATTAATTCAAGAAAAATAATTTTTAATAAACATGAACTAAAACGTTCATTTTCAGTCAGTCTGTATGTTTTTGAATATATTTACAACCATTGAAAAAAAATGTCCGCCTTTACATCGTTTCAGATATGAAGTCCGTGTTTCGATTTTTTGAAAGTATTCCCATCTTTGATCATTTTTGTTGATGTTGCTGGATATGTAGTTTGACCGAAATTCAAATTGGTTAGCAAGAAGTTTTAAAAATCTTGGCTAAAATGAAAGAAAATTCATAAGAAGTGGAAATCTATACGATTTCGCTTTTATTGATGTACAATATTTGATACGCTCTCGAACTTCGAGTATGTAAAGAACAAATTTTTAAATGAAGAGAAAAAGTTTGAACCGTGTCGTGTATGTTAATTTGTAAGATTCCTTTCTGAAATTGAGTGAAATCACTCTTTTTCTGCTGGGTCTTAATTTATTTTAAAAAGTGCTGCTAGGAACTAAGCGGATGAATGGTAACCAATTCTGTATTTTTTAATAATCGTAAATCGAGGTCATCAGATTGTAAGTGATCATTAAATAAAAATTTAGTAGATTAAAAAATTAATCTAAAAAACCACGTTTTCAAAAAGCAAAAAATAACCTTAAATGTGGTGCGCATCTATTTCATTTGTATTTCACTTCTTCCCAACAATCTCCATGCGCACCACGTTTAAGGTTATTTTTTGCTTTTTGAAAACGTGGTTTTTTAGATTAATTTTTTAATCTACTATAATTATTTTATTCTTTTTAAAAAATATTCTTAAAATTAATTTTTTCACAAAAGATTGCATTGTCATCAGTTTCTAGGCTATCCTGAAAGTTTCAGCTTGATAGCTAGTCGGGAAGTGAGTGAAATTTGAGTTGCAAAATTTGATCCGGACAAACAAACAGACAAGAAAGCGAGTTAATAAAACGTGTTAATTAATAAAAAAAACGTGTTAATTAATTAGAAAAAAAAATGTTCCAGGGGGTGGGATTGAACTCGGACCTCTGCGACCAATTCAGTTCACCATGGGTTTTTTTCTTGGGGCCAAGGAAAACCTGCTCAAAGTTTTATTATAGAAATCTACTATAATTATTTTATTCTTTTTAAAAAATATTCTTAAAATTAATTTTTTCACAAAAGATTGCATTGTCATCAGTTTCTAGGCTATCCTGAAAGTTTCAGCTTGATAGCTAGTCGGGAAGTGAGTGAAATTTGAGTTTCAAAATTTGATCCGGACAAACAAACAGACAAGAAAGTGAGATAAAAAAAACGTGTTAATTAATTAGAAAAAAAAATGTTCCAGGGGGTGGGATTGAACTTGGACCTCTGCGACCAATTCAGTTCACCATGGGTTTTTTTCTTGGGGCCAAGGAAAACCTGCTCAAAGTTTTATTATAGAAATCTACTAAAATTATTTTATTCTTTTTAAAAAATATTCTTAAAATTAATTTTTTCACAAAAGATTGCATTGTCATCAGTTTCTAAGCTATCCTGAAAGTTTCAGCTTGCTAGCTAGTCTGGAAGTGAGTGAAATTTGAGTTTCAAAATTTGATCCCAACAAACAGACAGACAGACAAGAAAGTGAGTTCATAAAAACGTGGTAAAAAGAACATTGATGCAAATTCTTCCGTGGGTTTTCTGCTGATATGCGGAAGATTCGCTCATAAACCTTAGAATATTCGGCGTTTTTCATCATCCATCCGAATAGCGTCTGAAATTGGAATACTTTTTGTCATTTTTTCAACATCCATCTCGGGCATTTTATTTTCATCAGCTTTACGCTGAAAGAATTCGTTTTCGCCATGAGATTTTACGATCTTCGCAAGAAAATTAGAAATTTATAAAAATCCGTTCCTTGATTAGTCCATTGCCTTATTGTAAAAAGCAGACATAAAATGTACTGAAGCTAGTAGGGAACTGAAAATTGTTTTAAACTTCGTTGATTAGCGTTAAAAATTTTCAGAAAATTTCAGTCAAGGTGCGAAATCTAGAAGAAAATAATTCTGTACCGTAAAAACCGACGGGATAAATTTTTATTTCGAAAGCTTTCAAGAAATAAATGCATTTCCTCTGGCAAATAGCATGAAAATGTCAAACCCAGAACCCAATAATTTTTCATAATTGTCCAAGTCAATGCTGTAAAAATTAAATTTGACAACAAATGCAAAAAATTAGATTGTCTTGGATCAGATTTGAGCTAATCTGCTGATTTGTTTGTGAAAACATTTTCTAATTGATCTGGAAATTTTGCATAGGTGCTCATTTGTCATTGTTGTGAAGGCTTTTGAAACGGGGTAATTTGAATGAACTTGTGTTTCTACAATATCTTGACAGCTTTTCGTTGGTACATATTTCAAGACTGCATACGAGCCATAATTTTAAAAATAGAAAAAAATGAAACAGAAGTAATTTCGAATAACTTTAATTGGGGCGAAGAGCTAATTTTAATTTCATCTGCTTTTCTGAAGTATGGATGGAGTCTATCTCCACAAGGGACCAGAAAAATGTCGTTGAAAAGAACCCTTTCAACAAGGAACATTATAGCAATTCGTTATGCACAAGAGAAAGTCGTTGTCGGCAAGATCATTATAGAGAGAGAGTCCACCTGTATATTCATTTTAATGTGTAAAAATGCTCTCCGACCACCTTGCAAGAATCCTTTTCATCGTACAGTATTAAAAAAAAATATATATATATATATATACAAGTATATACTGTTGTTGCAAATTTATGTTTATACAAGAGCTACGGAATTCCGTGAGAACGCTGGCGTGAAACCCTCGGGGTCAACTCGGTCTCCACCGGACCCGCGTGTCCAATAAATGCAAGCACGGGACCGAAAGGAGTCCACGGGTTGCACAAATAGGGTGGATATCGACGCGTTTCCCCCCTCAAGAAGTGAATGCGTCTCTCACGATCGCGGAATGTAAAACAGCATGGGGTGGAAGTATATAGTGGAACCCGGGCTGATGTATAGAGAGGAAAAACGAAAGTGTTTCCGAGGAGTTTTCATGAGGAGGGCACATGAAAAAGTAGAAATAAATAAAATAAAAGAGAGGAGGGAACACAAGCGGAAGTGAGAGAAAGAAAAGCCAACGCGTGCGAAGAGAGCTTTTGGCGGCTCTTACGAAAGGTGGCGGCTTTGAAGAAAGAGGGATTCATTATTCTTTCTGGGTTGTATCTCTCCTCTTGGCCCCGTGATCGATTAATTGCCTCGGTCCCTATATGTCTTGCATTTTTCAAGTACATTGATAATTGATGAAATCTGTCTGCTAACTGACTTGATCGATTCGAATGAGAAGTCCTGCAATGCCCGAAGAGGCCTATGGTTACCGCATGATGCAAATTTCGAGTGGAAAGCTTTTACCCGCCCAGGATTGGCTTTTGGCAAGAATTTTCAAAGTCATCCCATTTTAAATTGAAACATTTTCGAGAAATGACTAAATTTGCCCAATTGGACACCGATATATACAGTGAGACCCCAAGATGCGGATGTAATTGGTGCATCAAGAGTGTCCCTAAAGTTGAATTGTCCCAAAGTTGAGTCTTGTTTTCCCATAGACTTACATTATACAATAATTGTTAATTGGTGTTTTATGGAAGAAATATTCTTCAGAATTCCATGGAAAAATTTTTTTGCTCCTTGAATTTGATTCAGTGAATATATGTCCAACTCAATAAGAACGTTTGGAGCATTGAATAGTATACCACTGTACAGTTCATTTAAATGTTGGCATCTGTAAAAATAACATCCAAGTCACAAAGAGAGAAGGAAGTCCCTCTGTGTTATAGGTATTTTTTATTTAGCTGATTGGATGGGAAAGTGATGAGAAAAGTACCAAAGAAATTTTCCAGCATATATCTTAGGGTTGGAAATATCTGTTTCTTGCAATTAAAGCCTAATGAAAGTCAATTTTCTTAAAATTTATTTGCAATTGTATCATGCAATTTCCTCATGTTGAGTCAGTGTCTATTTGTCAGGCCTTTTTAATTATTTTTTTTTATTGAAAAATAAATATCCCTATGTGGAATTGTCCCCATGTTGAGGTGTCCGAATGTCGGGGTCTCTCTGTACTGTATATCCTTCTATCAAATGCCGCAGACCAAGGAAATGACTAGTCAAGAATCTTTCAAAGTTCTTTTTGATTGGACATGAGAGGAAACAGAACTCCCGACTTGATTTTAATTTTAGTCTTTCCGTTTCCCTCGAATCGAAAAGTTTGTGTAAAATTAAGTTGAACGAAACAGCAAAGATCATCAGAAATTGATTTTTATGATCTTGTGAAAACATGAAAAAGTTTAAACTTGGCATCAAGGACTTTCCAGACAAGCTCATTAGTTTATATGGAAAATTCATTGTTTTTTCTTCAATTTGTTGGAACGTCGGTAATATTACAGAAAGTAATTTTTGAACTAATCAGGTTTCTTTCAATTTATTTTCCTACCTTTTCAATTCACTTCGCTTTTTTTTTTCGTCCGAAGAAACCGTCCATCAATCATAATAATGGTGGTAATATTTTACCTATTTCTCCGAGAATATCAAGCCATTCCATTTTTTTTCAGACACATTAAAAATACTGTAAACCCAAACTTGAAGGCGACCATTTGGTAATGAAACCGCTAGAAATAATTTCAGGTACGTTTTTGTACTACGAGGTAGTAGTACAGTAATACAGTACCAAAAATTCCCTCAAAAACATAGTGGTTCGGGAATATTGTTCAGAGTAGACCGGACAACAATGGACCTATTCATGGACGTCTGTATCTTTCGAACTGATTAATAAGCGGTTTAGTTACTGTAGTACGATATACAAATTCCGGAATAGAGCTCGGTTTTTTTTATAATGACGATGCATCGCTAGTGGTTTCATGTCAGCTGGTTTGACCGGCATGCAAATTTTAATAAAGAGTTGAAAGATGTTTACAGTTTTCATTTGCGCTATCAGAAGGGTTGACGGGGTTCTGACAGAGATTCGTATCAACGAACCCGCGCCCATAACTCGAATTACCGTAATACGTGTATAATATCTGCAAGCTACCTTCCATTCAACTCACTGAATGACCCCAAAATAATGTGGAAACTGTATAAATGTAGGAATGGCATACGATTGAGATGAAAACAAGTATTGTACAGCCGCCAAATAATTCACATCCCAATTGGCGGTCGTTCTTAAAAATGGCGGAATTACCCTGGAATGCCTGGAAGCAGCCCTTGTAATTGATGTCATGTCGGTTTCAATAATTCGGAAGGGAAAAACTGGGCTGCATTGGAAAATCTGTGAGATAAGCGCCACGTCCTTTGAGTGAATAGCAGAAAGCTGACTTTTGCAAAAATTTTCCTGCAAAATACCCGTATTTACTCGAGTACCCTCTTATGAAATGTGCACCCAAGTTTTTTTAGTCAAACATTTTTGTTGAATTTCATCCCCGAGTAAGACGCGCACCACATTTTTAGGGAATCTGAAACTTCGATATTTTGAAAATGAGAACACAAAAGTTTGAATTTGGGCATGAAATGAACCCAAATTATTTAATCGTTTCCATAAAAACAATGCGTTGTTCTGATGAAACTGGTCTAAAATTTTTCATTGGAATCGAGCATAATGCACAAACTTAAACATCTAAAACTTGAGAAAAAAAATAATACCAGCCTTCGACGCGACAACCCTTTTTTCCTTTCAATTTTGAGAAAAAAAGGTGCGCGTGGTACTCGAGTAGATATTGTGTATCGAACAGGGATGAATTTTTGTTATGCCAGAGAATATTTTTTTTAATGAGTCTAATTTTCCATTGGAATCGAGCTTAATGCACAGCACCTTCTACATCTAAAACAAAAACAAAAAAATACCAGCCTATGACGCGCCACCCCTTTTTCTTTCAATTTTGAGAAAAGAAAAGGTGCGCGTGATACTCGAGTGGATATTGTGTATCGAACAGGGCTGCATTTTTGTTGTAATGCCAGAGAATATTTTTTAAATGAACAATAGTATTTTTTTTCTCAAGCCTGTGCAGTTTCAATTTTATTCCGAGACATTTTTGCAGACCCCTGGTGTAATGTAGAAAGAGAGGTCGCCAAAAAAAAAAAGAGGCCCTTCGTGGAGAAAATCGCTGCGGGAGAGAGCTAAGGAGAAAGCCGGCGAAAGCCGTCTTACCGAACACCTCACTGGTGATAGTCTCCGCTGCTCGAAGGCTCCGAGATATTTTAGACATCGACATTTCGTTCCCAGTTTTTCCGTGTAGAATATTTCTCTCCTCTTGCTGCTTTCGGTTTCTTCCTTGTTCTTTTTTTTTCACTGGGGGGTTTTCCCTCGCTTCACTTTTCTGCGAATTATTATCATGAAGCTCTTGCAATGTGGGTTAAAGAGAAGGGAGGCAGGGAATTTTCTTCTTCATCAGCAGAAAAATGTTTCGCGATGATTTTGGGCCTTCTTTTTTTCCCTCCCGTTTGATACCCTGGGGTTAAGAGACGAAGAGGGTTAATCGAATTTTTGTGCGTGATTTCGCCTTTCACCCCATTTGCTTATATGCGCGGGTTTTTGTGAAAGCACAATCGCTTTGCGAGTTCGTGGAAAGTTGGAGAAAATGGGAGTCGGAGGATAGAAGATTATTTGTGTATGGATTTTTTCGGCAGATTTTTTGCGTCAGGTCCAACAACGGCAGTTTTTTTTAAAGCATGATGGCGAATTTTTGATTTTCCCCCTTATTTTCATCATGGAAAGTAGTGGGGTTACCTTCTTCCTTTCCCTTGTTTTACAAAAACTACATACGGTACTTTTCTCGTGAGAAAAATGAATTTTAACTTCCGAAATTTCCTTCTAGTTTTCTTTAGTTGAGATTATTTTCTCCTCAATTGATGATTTGACGAAAGAAGTTCCTCAAAAAGTGCTTTTCCCGCCTTTCGCGAAGCATACATTCATTTTAATGGTAAATTTCTGGACCACGAAAATCTTGGAGTTGATGGATTGACGTGAGTTCAACGTATTCCTGATTGATTGAATGATTGAATTTTACGTTATACTTTCCAAGTCCATTCGATTTTTTTAAAGCTAATATTTTGCCCCGTGAATTATGACAAAAGCAATTTCTTGAATTACTTCATTTGTGAGCTAATGCAAGTCATAACGTTTGGTCATATTTCCATATTTATTTATTTTAATATTGCAATATTTCCACATTGTGTATAGAAATAAAGATAACTTTCAAATGAATAAAGATGAACATAGTTGAATATAATTTAATCGGGAAGCCGCGTTCTTAGGGAAAAGACGTCAAGTATTCGTCAAGAAAATGCGGGAAATTTTGAATTAGTAAATGATCGTCTTCATTAATCGTGCCGTATGTTAAATATTCATTTTGCTGATTTGTTTTGACACTTCGCTAACAAAAACGCTGTCTTCCCATCTCTTATCTATGGATGTATACAAAAGTGAATAAATTCGTTCTTGCCGATGTAAACGAAAGGGTTCGGCGCGTCAGCGACCCGGGAATGTTGTCCCAAGAATTCGAATTATTATTCTTGAAAATGCGAGTAACAAGTAATGAATTCGAATCGAATGTTTATTATTCCTCCTACACAAAAAATAAAAAAAATAAATTGAAGGGGCTCTTATTCGAGATGATTATCCACTTTCTCGTTCGAATGTTGCTGATACTGTGGCAAGAGTTCGACGGCTGCTGGTCGAAGCTGACGTTAACGAGGCGTTAATTAAACGCTCCGCTTGATTCATGGGCCTGAGGGCGCAAATTGTTGCCAGCGAAAACAGCAGCTGCGTGTATTATTGGCTCCTCCGTTGCTTTAGGCATAAGTAAAGTACTGCGTTGGGAAACATTCTTTCGGAAACGTGCTTCTCTCGTCTCCTGGCGCATTTCTAATCAAAATGAGTGCAGGTTAGAAAGCTGCTGGAAGCTGTTATTGAACCAGAATGTCTGATTTGGTTTTGTTTCGGGTTTTATGTTTTCTTCGCTTGAATCCGTCTACAGTACAGTATATGAATTCATGTGCTCATTTTAAACTATGCGAGATTGTATGGGAAACATTTTTGCTGAGTGGATCTTGCTTGTGTGTGTGTGTGTGTTTTTTTTTTCAGAATGCTGGAGAAATTACGAGTTCACGAAGAAAACCGCTAATGGTGTGCGAATTGAACTAGATTTGATTATTTTTGCGGCGATAAATGACCGCATTGTGAAATTATACTCGGTCATTGCGGAATAAGCGTTCTGCATAATTGACATAGTATTCATGAAACCAGGTGCAAAGCATGCCGTCATACTCGTATGAAAATATAGGATGAGCATTCAAGAATTTAAGACCATTTGTAAAATACAGTACTTGTGAACAGTTTCAACAAAAATAAAAAATAAAAAGTCCAATAATTAAATGCCTGTTTGTTGTGGAAATGGGGGGATTTTCAATTACTCTGTCATTTAAACTTGAAGTGTTCAATACATGCACTGTAATTGGAAGAATTTTTTCAAGGTGTGCCAAAATCCGTTTTTATGAGTGTTCATGCTCATTTTTAATTATTCGAAGTCAGAGTATGTAATTGATCAACGCTCTTTAAAAAAAATTATTGAATTTCCAAAACATTATGTGCGTTGTGGTGAAATGTACAGTATTCCTCTTTGACCATTCTTGAATGATTATCAATCCTCGAATATTTAATATTTAAGCATCAACTTTAATTTATTTTTAGTCTCGGGCAAAAAAATATCGAATGCGAAATTCAAGTGGGGCCTCAAGAAGTGGACATAATTACCGTAATTGTCTGACAGTCGGGCTGTGTACATATGTTTGAATGTCCGCATGTTGAATCACATTTCACCATAGGTTTGAATGGTAAATTTTTGAATCACTGCTCTTGTTTAGCGAAAATTGGGAAAATGCCTCGCGAATATTCCGTGGAGAGTGTTTTGACAAATTCAAGATGTGCAGAAGAGCACCATCAGGAGTCTGCTGTTCTGGCATGAAAATGTGTCAAAAAAGCTTTAAAAAGAAGTTAGCGCACATACTTATACACAGCGCAGTGCTTCAAATTGCGAACACCGAATTATAAAAACACGGAGTTGGCAATTTTTTGGATTTTGAGTCCGAGTGCAATTATATACTGTATTTTCAATTGTTCTCCATTGAAAGCGCTTGAAAGTTGTTCGAGATATACAGTATAAACATTCTGGGGAAAAAATAGATTTTTATTTTTTTCTGAAGTGGTTTAAAATTTTTGAGACATTGTCCAGATGTCGTGGCGTAACGTTTGAGTTAAAAATGCCCGTATGTTCGGGGTTGCACTCACTTGTTTACCAATCTAACCCAACAAAGGCTAGGTTTAGTTGCGGTGTTCAGGTTATTTGAGTGAGGTTTTAGGTTAGGTTAGGTTAGGGTCAAGCTCCATAATTCAAACCTCTTTCATTTCATTGTCTGGTCCACCGAAAGAGTTTGTTTATTCCGACGACTGGTTCGAATGCGGAACACGTTATACTGTAAATGTATTCTCTTCTCTCGTCTCCTTTTGCTTACGAACGTGCGAGAATCAAGAGAGATCGAAAGGCGAGAAAAGTGCCCAGCTACACATTTTTATTTCTTCATTCTTTTTTTTTTTCTTGTCTTCATTCCTTCTCTTTCCTGTCGCATTATTATTATTTTTTCTCTCTCTCTCGCGTTAGTTTCACTTCTTGCCGCTTTTGTTTCATTTCGCTGGGTGAAAGCTCTTCGTACGTCGGCTTAGGTCGCAGTGTTCAGCTTTCTTTTCGGCGTTTTGACTCACGAGGGTCTCGTTCGTTTCCAGATTAATTTCGAAATTATGCCGGAAAAGAAAGCCGTACCTCGTCGATATTTAAAACGAGAAGGGAAAAAAGGCAATTGCACCAATGCTTGAGCTCCAGAGCTTTCTTTCATAGACTTGCCCCTTTTTCTTCTTCTTCTTCCACGTTGTGGTTGATGAGTTTACATGTTTTTTTGTTTTTTTTATTCAGCGTGAAAACTCGAGATTTTAAGGCGAGGTTAACGCTGTATTTATTTTTGTTTCACTTCGAATATATTTTAACTGATTTTGCTTTCTTTTGGAGGTGGATATCGATTATGTATCCAAGATTGCCGATGGGTGATGATGTGGGAAACAAATCGCGCGTTTCATTTCAATATTCAGAGAAAATTTCCCCCTGGGTGATTTCTGCGCCTTAAATTCATTCGTTTCGCAAGATGGCTGTAATTTTCTTCGAAGGGGAATATTGATGTTATGCACGCGTTTACAGGTTTTTTTGTTGTTGCTTTTTTTGTTCTGCGCCGGTCGAGAAAGTTTTATGGCAAAGGTGAAAGCTTCTCGATACCGTTGCTGAAATCATTTCCTTGCTCTCTAGCTTCACTATAGGGAGGAAGTTTTCTCTTCATTTTTTTTTTCTCGCGGAATGGATATTCTACTTTGGATGCTGGAGGAAAATTACTTCTGTTGAAGAGTTTTTTTACAGTTGAGAAGACTGAGAAATGAAATTGATTTGTGAAATTATTGGCTGGCGTGTAGTGAAATGAGTATCACCTGGGGAAATTAGTTCAAAGCTTAATTACATTTTAGATTATTCACTTCCGGTCGCTTGAAATTTTATGATCGAGTTCTGATGCGTTTAGTTCCGACTTTACTAGTGTCTCGGAATAAGCACTGAAGAATATACCGTAATCGTAGAACATCTGTTAACCAGCGGGAATTCGAATTTGACAAAAGGAACAAGAAAAGCCTTTGGACTCGTAATTTTAAATTGAGCTGCTTCGTTTCCGTCAGGTCGGCTCGAATTTCATTTGGAGAAAGCCAAGAAAAGCCGAAATTGTCATATATATCTTTTACGTTGGCGAGGCGATGTATAATTTGGGATTATAGGTCAAGTCAGTTACTAATAGCCTTATATTTTGTGAATTTAGTATGCTTTTCTGCCCTTTTTTGTTCTTAACTCGGCGAAGCGAATATCTGCCGTATGAAGTATACTGTGACTAATAAAGTTGAATTACATAACACGAAACTTCAAGTATAGCGGCTAAATCTACTTTTACTAACAAGAACCTTTTTTATACTTTAAAGACGCTCTTAATTTCGACAGTCGTATGAAAAAGTTTACCAACTTACAAACAATATGCTCGTGAATGTGTTGAGCCCTGTTTTCCTAGCTTCGGAAAATTTCGCCGTTATTATTTATGTGTTATTTTGAACCCACTGTCTAATTTTTTTACTGTAATTTGCGATGTCTAAAATTGCCAAGGGATCTGTTGTGGGTAAGCCGTCTGTATAAACTTTAAATTCTTAAGTAATAATTTTTTGTGGATCTGGAATAGGTCATTCACTCTGTATCACTCGTTTTATGGAATATTTGGATCATGGAATTCCCACTGGAATGGATCAGGACCATGAATCGAGGCCCTTGTGTGCAAATATTATTACACGGAAGAGAGCTTCCGTCGTAGATTAAATTAATTGTAAAATACATCCGAAGCACCGGATCAAAGTTGGTGCTTTGTATCAGCGTTTCTTTGTGTTCCACACAGAGACGTAAACTGCGAAAATTCCCAATAAAAATTTATGAGAAATCCGTCAAGTAGAAACCTATTGTTCTTTTATTTTTATTTTACCGAAG